GGAAGATTACTGATATGATCTTTAAGTAGATATTTATTCGTTACTATTTTAGTTCATGTACTTATAAAATGTTCGTTTTGGTCATTGTATTTACAATTTTTTTCATTTTAGACTTTCTACATTCAAAATATCCGTTTGAGTTTCTATTTGCAAAATTTTATACATTATAGAAATCATTTTAATGTAAATTTATGACTACATTTCAGTAAACTTAGTAAGTGAAGTGTCGTGTTAAAATTATGATCGAAATAAATGAGATTAAAATGAAAATGAATGACCAAAAAAGTCACATTTTAAAAGCACAAGGACCACATTGACTAAAATRAATAAAAATTGAAGTACATAKACTAAAATGATATTTAAAGTATATARCTTAAATTTCATATTCTTAAAGAAAAATGTTACCACATTTTTTTTCAAATAYAGAAATTTTTATTATATTTTATATTACATTTTAATTTTTGAATTATAATTTTGTAAAATTTATAATTTTTTGCTACATTTGGAAACCTATATTATTTATTTTATGATATTTAGAYAACAAYWTTATGTTGTTGTCATTATACAATTATTCACCTCATTATTTAATTTATTATGTCATTTAATAAAACCCACGTCATTTTTAAGAACAAATTTTTTGTTGTTCACATTTTTTTTTCAATTTTTTTATTTAAAAAAAGCGCACGCACAAAACTTAAAAATATTACAAATAATAAATTGTGGATCTACCATGCTTTTAAATTTAATATAAATGTTGTCATCAAAAAAATAATATAAATGGGACAAGCTCCTATTTCTTAGTGTACAGTCAACATTTTATTTGAAGGAAACATATTTTATTAACGGGGTTTCATAAAAWTATTTATTGTTATCTGTAAATAAAATTTACAAAATTGATTATCTTGTGATTTGGAAGAATCCAGTCTATAAGATTGTTATTAAAAAAAAATCCAATATATAATATTTGATTATTATTTATTTTAATATCTTGGCCGGTTACTGGTTAGCAACTTGAACTTTTGAAGCATTTATTTAAWAGGATTTCTTGGCAGATTTTGAGGATCTTAAGAATAAAATATTCACAACACTCCCCAGAAGATTTAGTTCACATTTGTAATTATTTTATTTCTTTAAGACATTAAAATATTTTTTTAATATATGGGTTGACTGGCTAGCTTAATGATACTTCTGCTAGAATTTTAAAATAAACTCTCGAGGATTGTTATAGAGTTTAAACTCATTTTGCTGAAACCTAACGTACTTTACTAAGCCAATCATAATAATTGTAAATATAAATTTTTACGTATGAGATTACAGTAAATTACATCGACGTTTTAAATATCATTTCGAACATCAAAGCAGTTTATGAAACAGTACATCATATCCTTTTTTCTTAATCTATTTTTTAAAAATTAATACACAGTAAAAATACGATAATTTATCAATAGAAATGTCGATGTCTCAATTTCATATAAATATTGACGAAAATATCATATGGATTGATATTTCTGAAAATGTTAAAAGTATTCGTAAAAAATATTTAAATATACTTTCTAAATAAGTTTAAAACGATTAGTATTAATATTTTATCTATACTAGTGATATTTTATTAATATTTCTCATTTTGGTCAACTTTTTTATAATATATTATGGAAATGTCGATTTACTTCTCATGTTAACGTCGAATCTATTGACATGAAAATATCTACATATCGATGGATAATACCTTCAACATATCATAGCGCATGGGCCAGTTTTGTCAACTTACCCAAATTTCATAGCATTTTAAAACACACCTACATTTGTAAATTCGAACACAGTTCTATGAATAATAATTACTATCACGAAGGTCGATGATCCGATRTATCGAATCCATACCCCAAGATAGGCCCTACCAAGTTACATAGAATGAATATTGATGGCCAAAAAAGTTTGGAATATTCAATTGGGGAGATATAACCAATTTTAGATGGAGGGAATGGGACCCACAACCCCTTTTTCCCATTTGGATTTTCTCTTATAATGCTTTTGGGAATAATTTTCTTTCTTCACGTAGTACAAACCATTCATTCCTTTTCACTTTCTATCTACAAAAAGATACTATAATTCATTATAAGTACTTGAAAATTGATTTTTTTTTTTTTTGTCAATTTTTAAATCTTTAGTTATGGTTGAGTGGATCTTTATGTATGCTAGAATCCCCGTCCGTAGTTTGAACAGAAGACTATTTGATTGTTAGGTCCATCGCAATTTTAATATTTATCTAATTTATTTGTTTACTTAAATAGATATGATTAAATTTGCAAAATGCATATTTTGTAAGGAAGTAAAATACAGATTTTTTTAGTACGGGAAATCTTACCTACAATCTCAAATATATGCTAATTACTCTTGAATTAGGTTCGTTTTTACGAAAAATATTTATTATAATTTATTACATATTACTCGATAATAATCCACATTAATTTACAATATGACTGTATGTTAATAAATCCTAGAGATACGTCAGGCATATATCTCATATCAAGGCGGTGAGTTTAATCTTCCATCGTCGTACTTGCTTGTCTGAATTATGCAAAATTAATCTCCTTGGATCGGTGACCATGAAATTTGTGTAAATTTCCGGTAATTTGAACTCGAAGGAAGCTAATCGGAGCAAGATACTTCAACAAAGGTTATGAATCCGTCGTCGGTCATCTCAATTCTTCCTTCAATTCGCCGCGGGACAACGAAGGCCACGGTTCCCACACCTTGTCGACGGCCGGCGGTAACTTTGTCGCCGGAGCTAGCGTGTTTGGCTTGGGAAATGGCACCGCCAAGGGCGGGTCGCCGAGGGCTCGGGTGGCCGCTTACAAGGTCTGCTGGCCTCCGGCGGCTGGAAATGAGTGCTTCGACGCCGATATCTTGGCGGCGTTTGATTTGGCGATTCACGACGGCGTGGACGTGCTGTCCATTTCGTTGGGAGGAGATCCGAATCCGCTTTTTAACGATAGTGTTGCGATTGGCTCCTTCCACGCCGTGAAGCATGGGATTGTGGTGATTTGCTCTGCTGGAAATTCGGGACCGACTGCTGGTTCGGTGAGCAATATTGCGCCGTGGGAGATCACCGTCGGGGCGAGCAGCATGGATAGGAAGTTCCCTAGTCGCGTCGTTCTTGGGAGCAATAAGCAGATTGAGGTTAGTGAAACTTATTCTTGAATCAAATTTAGACAATCTGATCGCATTGTGTTATCACTGCACTCCACATGTTTGCTGAATTTCCCTGAATTTGACACTCAAACCATTGAAGTGAAGTTATGAGTTTCATGGGATAAACTTGTAATCTTGAATAAAATACTTAAAGCCAATCCATATTGGTATTATTTGAAACCTATAGCACTGAATGTATAATTCATTTATTAATGGCTTCTATTGTTTGGAGAAATACTAAACTAAGAAGATTTAGATGTTTGTAGATATCAAAGTCAGGTAGAAAACTTCATCATTTAGAGTATAATGCAGGGATTTCTTTAGTGAAAAATGGAATTAACTTTTCTTTAGTATCTCTATGGAGAAATTAATATTTATTCTCTTTTTAGTTGAAACAAGATTAGCATGGTAATATATATCTTCATGGATAAGGACTACTAAAGGAGAAGTTGGAAACATTTTAAATTTCATTCATGTCGTCATGTTTCTAAAATATATAATCTCTTGCAGGGCGAAAGCCTGTCCCCTGAAGCTTTGCCAAGCAGGAACTTTTATCCGCTCACCAGTGCTGCAGATGTTAAATTGGCCAATGCATCAGTTCATGAAGCGTAAGGGAATCGAACAATGGTTTTACGTTCTGTATTTGAATTTGGCTATTGAGATTGTCTTCTTGAATTCAACATGTGCCATTAAAACTATCATGCTTAATTGACTGCTGGATTCTTGGACCATTCAGTCAACTGTGCAAAGCCGGTACACTTGATCCTATGAAGGCAAAGGGAAAGATCCTGGTCTGCCTTCGTGGCGATAATGCAAGAGTGGACAAGGGCGAGCAAGCAATGTTGGCCGGTGCTGCGGGCATGATTCTCGCCAATAGCGAGGCCAGCGGGAATGAAATCCTTGCCGACCCTCATGTCCTTCCAGCCTCACACATCAACTTCACCGATGGTGTTGCAGTCTTTGCGTACATCAATTCGACCAAGTAAGTTGTTTTAGAAAATACCAAGTTAAGTTAATCACAGCAGTAAATGATATTCATATTTGGGTTATTTGGGCTGATTGGCTTCCCTGCATGTGGCCTATGTATATTGTATAGCACCATTCAATTATTGAAAAATTTAAACTGTGAATATAGGTCGCCCACGGCTTATATTACACGAGCGACAACTCAATTAGGTATAAGGCCAGCTCCATTTATGGCAGCCTTTTCATCAGTGGGACCAAACACTATTACTCCAGAGATCCTAAAGGTTGTCTTTTAGCCATTTCTAGTAGTTTGGCAGTTTGTGTTAATCTGAACTAATTGTTAGGTAAATGTTGTGTCTGCAGCCTGATGTTACAGCTCCTGGGGTGAGTGTTATAGCTGCTTATACTGAAGCAGAAGGACCAACGAATCAAGAATACGATACTCGTCGGGTTCTTTTTAACTCAGTATCAGGAACTTCCATGTCGTGCCCTCATGTTTCTGGTATTGCTGGTCTTCTAAGAACCCTTTACCCTCATTGGAGTCCTGCAGCTATTAGATCTGCAATCATGACCACTGGTAAAAAAAAATTAACCCCCTCAGTATTTTATTCAGCATTAATCTTTTTTAGAAATGAAATCTACCATTTCATTGAAAACTACTAACTTTTGTAGAAATTACGAGCTAATTTTCTTATCCCTCCTGCATTGCATCTTGTTATCATTTTCGACAAATGAGACACCACACCGATTTCTAGTTTTTTGCACATAACAGGGGTTCTGTTTGGTTGTGCAATAATTCCGTTTAGTCTCTCATTTTCTTCCATTTTCACAGCAACTCTCATTTTCTTCTATTTTCACAGCAACCACGCTAGACAACAACTTAGAGCCGATCCTCAATGCTTCCTACTCCGAGGCCACGCCATTCAACTACGGAGCAGGACACGTTCATCCAAATGGTGCTATTGATCCTGGCTTGGTCTATGACATAGAGGTTAAAGAATATCTGTTGTTTCTATGTGCCTTAGGATACAACCAAACTCAAATATCGCAGTTCGCGGATGGCCCCTTCAATTGCGCAGAGCCTATTAGTCTAACCAATCTAAACTATCCTTCAATTACTGTCCCTAAGCTCTCTAGATCAATCACGGTAACTCGAAGACTAAAGAATGTCGGTTCTCCTGGAACCTACAAAGCCCAGATAAGAAAACCATTGGGGATATCAGTATGGGTTAAGCCAAAGAAGTTGAACTTCACAAGGGTAGGTGAAGAGCAGAGCTTCAAAGTTTTCATGAAAGTCGAGAAACAGAATGTAGCAAAGAACTATGTATATGGTGATTTAATATGGTCAGATGGTAAGCACCATGTAAGAAGTCCTATTGTGGTAAAGGCAGTCTAGTAGAAAGCTAAAGAAATTCGATTCGGTTGGTTGGGCTAGTTTCTACATATTAGTTCGACTCGACTCTAGTTCGAGTCCTCTACACGCTCTTCGGGGGTTGTTTGGCTCACACTCTACCTTAGTCTTTTACAATAATGATTGGTAAGGTGAGGGAAAAACTATAGGTAACGACAATTGGTATTTTGGTTACATTAACATTATTGTTCTTCTAATCCTTTTGGAAAAGTTATTCAGATCCAAACATTTATATTTTTCGTATCTACGACGTATAATTTGTTAACTGTTTGCGGTAGAGCTTCTCGGGCCATGAAGAAGTTTCACGAGCGGTGCCGAGCTCCAAGCCTTCTACGACTTCTTGTCGTCTTTGATGTGTATGGCATGTATGATTTTATTATATGGTTTTGTTTATGCTAAATGTACAGGCTATTCTCAACTTCTCTCTTGAGATGTCCAGAAATGCAGGAAGGAGATGAGTAGTTTTATAGTTCAAACTTTATAGACAATTGAAAATTTTGGAAGTTCAAAACTTGTTCAAAATATATAGATGTGATTCAAATTTTCAGAATTATAACAAATGTGAAAATATTTATAATAATTTAAAGTTAAGTTTAAATTATCACTATGATCCCTGTAATTTGGGTAATATCATTTAGTTCCTATACATAGTTTTTAAATGAACACCGCTTGGTTTCAATTTGGTCTATAAATTTAAATATCAATTTGATCTTTTTATTGTCTCTTTTATCTGAGTTGAAGTCACTCATTGCCTCTCGTCTACGCATGCCCTTATTTTATACTCTATTTTTTATTTAGTCTTAAATCCTGTTAATGTAGATGTAAATGTCGAAGACTCAATTTTATAAAAATATCGATGAAATGTATATGTCGATAAGAAACAAAAATTTCATAACTAATATTTAAATTAATAAATATGTCTTTTCTTTATTTGCTTCTTCCTCCTCATTTAATTAAAAATGAACGATTGGAAATTTCATCATTTCTGAATAAATTATTCTTAAAACTAATACTATATCCACATTAGCGAGATACTTTATTTATATTTTTAATATTTGTTGTTGTTATTATTATTATTATTATTTTGGAAATTTCATCATTTCCGAATAAATTATTCTTAAAACTAATACTATATCCACACTAGTGAGATACTTTATTTATATTTTTAATATTTGTTGTTGTTATTATTATTATTATTATTATTTTAGGATTCATTCCTCATTTCTGTATTGAACATATGTAAATATCATTCAACTAAATAGAAAAAATTAGTCAATACCACACAAATAAGGAATATACTAGAGGTTCAATATAGTAATATTGAATATAAAATTAAAACTTTTAAAATCAAATTACAACCAAGTTCTATTTAGAGTGACCAAATTAGTAATTTAACATTCAATTAAATTAAAAGTTGGCCGTGGAAATGCGTAAACTCTAATTTTTGGAGGCATGTAAATGTTAATGCAAAGTCTCCTCGATTGTCGTAAAATAACAAACCAAATTAGTTGGAGGGTAGCAGGAAATGTTAGGGTGTGGGTCAGCCTACAGAAACGAGATTGCTATCCCTTTCGGACTGTTTAATAATCATTTATGTTTTTTATTTTTGAATTTTTTGAATTTTTTAGTCTTTGGTTCTTGGTTTCCTGATTTTAAAAAACAAAACTATATACCTTTGATAACTATTCTTTCGTTTTTTAAAAAACAAAAAACCAAACATGTTTGCGAACCATTTTTAGTTTTCTATTTTTAAAGAGTTAGAAAATTAAAAATAGAGAGAGAAAATTCTATGTAGAGTAGAGATGATGGATACGAGTGAGGACGCTCTCCCTCATTCTCATACTTGCGAAAAAATTTTAATCCCCGTCTCCACCTTGTTTTTCGGTTCGAGAGAGGTTATCGAAGAAAATTATCGATTTTATAATTGTTTTTAATTATTTTTAGAATTTAAAAAATAAAAAAAAGTGTAATAAATATATATTAATTGTTTAAAAATGGAATCGGGGACCGTCAGGACATACATTTTCTATTTTTAGGGTTTTACCTTGTGAAAATTTTTGTCATCCCTGATGTAGAGACATGAAAGTAAGTTTAGAGATGTAAATAAACATTTGGAAGATAAATTTTAGAGAGATAAACAAAAATATTTAGAAAAAAATTAGTAAAAGAAAAGTTAAAGACAAAAAGAACAAAATTTTAGAGAAAAAAATAAAGTCTGAGACGAAAATATATGTTAAAAAAAATAGAAATAAAGAGAGAGGAAAAATATGTGCTAAAAAATAGAATTAAAGAGAAAAATTACCAATGGAAACAAATTTAGAGATAAAAATTATATTCAAAATATAGTTTTCAGATAAAATAAATAAATACAGAGATAAATAAAAATTACAAAAGAAAAGTGAACGAGAAAAGAAAATATAAATTTCAGATGAAAAATAGATTAGGAAGAGAAAAAATAAAAGATGAAATTTTAGACCGAAAAAAGATTCGAAAAAATTTTAAATTTTAGAGAGAGAAATGAAACTGATGTGTTAGAAAAAAATTAAAAAATAAAAATATACAGAGATTAAATATTTAAAAGAAGAAACAAATAATAATAAATATTCCAAATATGAACGAAAATAAATTGTGTGGAGAGAAATTTAGAAAGAAAAAAAATAAGTGAGAAATAAATTTTTTATAGATAAATATAAATCAGAAAAAAATAAATTGAAAACTAAATTTTTTTTATTTACACCGAATTTCAAAATGATTTTAAAAAAATAAAAAACATAAAATTGAATTGGTTATCAAATTTTTTAAAAACTAAAATTAAAAATCAAAAACTAGGTTACCGAGCAAAAATCAAATATTAAAAATAAAATGAATATCGAAGGAACCGTTCGCGATTTCAACGGCGCTCTTTATCCTTGGGCCCACCTAAACTAGGATAGGATACCAGATCTATGCTTCATCCCTTCATCTTCATGTCCGTACCTTTTTTTCCTCTTTACTCATTCTCTTAACTTTCAAAAATAACTTATTATTAAATGCATACAAAAGAAAATGGACGGTGCTAATTTAATCCCTCTTTTAAAATATAAATGTTTATTCATTTGGGAGGTGCGTTCTACATTTGGAATTATTTAATTTGTCATATTTACGAATATAGTAAAAATTTAAGTTTTTAAAATATGGTAAAAATAAATTAATCAGATTTTTGTTATTTTGATTTTATCCTTTTAGATGATTGATATAACAAATATAAAGTATATCATGGATGATGTTAGTCACACGGAATATATGAATGGTGTACTTCATATTAGATACATTAAAGATAAATATTGTTTGAGTTGAAAATTATGATTTAAATAATATGTTAAAATTTTTATTATATTTTAGGTACATCACTTATATAATTATATATAGCTAATATGAAGTATATCGATAACTAAATATATAATAATATACATTTATAAATCTTCTTCAAGTTGAAGATTCGAGTTTAAATAACATTATGAGTTTCTTATTATACATATATCATAAATATATTAGTGATATATTTCAATTTATGCGTATCATTAATATAATTGATATACTCAATATAAAGTGTATCATTGATATACTTAATATTAGGTATACCTATGCGATAAGTATAATCAACTTTCCTATTTTTTCATTGGGTAGAACTTAGAAGGCTTCTATTTTTTGTTATATACACCAATGAGAAAAGCAGTTGCTATATTTGAAATTAACTATTGATTTTTTTGCTCTTTTTGTAAGCAACCTATAATTTGTTGCGTGAAATTAGACTTTTAACGAGTGACTATTTTAATATCTACTTTAATACACATTTATGATTGCATTTCAATCATTTTAAAGTGTTATGCTAAAATGATTAGAGAAAGAAATTATATAAAAATAGAAATAAAATTATCAAGATAGTCATTTAAAAATTATAATAATTGATTGGACAAAAGTTTAAAATACAAAAACTATAAAAAAAATGTTAAAAGTTTTAAAACCAAAATGAATGAAAATATATATATATATATATGAGAGAGAGAATAAACATTAAAAATTAGTTAAAGAATGAACTATTCCCAAAAAATCTAATAAAGAAAGTCCATGTGACCCATGAATAGATCCGTGAATCCACGTCCACTCAATCTAATAAATTATTATATTTATTTTCGTTAAATTTTATTGCGGAACCGCTGGAACTTTGTTGCTTCCCATACTACCCCTCCAAGCACCACGTTCTGAAGCACAGAAACGGAGGGCAAACGACGTAATATAGTGGAAAGTACAAGGGCAAATTCGTCAACAAGACCGCCTCAAATATCAGTGGCACCAAGTCTCTTATTCGGCAGTAGACTGTGCAGCTACCTCTGAGCTGATCTCTGCTTTCAATCTCCGGCCATTGCCTGATCGGAGGAGAATCCGGAGTTCGTTTTCCGATTTGAATTCATCGTCTAATGGCGTCTTCCATGGCCGCAGTTGGAGCTCTGAGACTTCCGGCGTCGTCGTCGTCTTCGTCGGCGAACGGTGGTTCTAACCGTGGAAGGAGAAGCGGCCTTCGGAGCCTCTCATTCGCTGCGTCTCACCTTTCCGGCGACAAGATCGAGTTTAGAGCGACTGGTTTGGGCTCACGACGCGTTTCCGGTGGTGGAGCCGCTCCTCTGATCGTCTCTCCTAAAGCGGTTTCTGATTCTAAGAACTCTCAGACTTGCCTCGATCCCGATGCTAGCCGGGTAGGTTTTCTTATTTCTCTGTGCTCCTCCATGAATGCCCTAATTGATTGAATTGGATGGATTCGATACCTCTTGCACTCTACTTGATTCCGAATACTTGATGCTTTCGCCTAATTTTGCTTCGTCCGACTTTCTGTTTGGAACCGCCGCGAATTGTTTTTGGACTGGATTGTGAATTTGTGATGGAATGGTTTTTGTATCTGTTTTGTTGTGTTTAGAGTGTGCTTGGAATAATTTTGGGAGGTGGTGCTGGAACGCGGCTCTATCCGCTCACTAAGAAGCGGGCGAAGCCTGCTGTTCCTCTTGGAGCGAACTACAGGCTGATTGACATTCCTGTTAGCAATTGTCTCAATAGCAACATTTCCAATATTTATGTCCTTACGCAATTCAATTCTGCTTCTCTTAATCGTCACCTTTCCCGAGCTTATGCGAGTAACATGGGTGGTTACAAGAATGAAGGATTTGTTGAAGTTCTTGCCGCTCAGCAGAGTCCAGAGAATCCAAATTGGTTTCAGGTAATGAAATCAAGCTTAGGCAATATTTGTGGCTATTTTGTTCAGAATATTGATTTCTGTGAACGCTGGCTTAACACTTCCAAATGGATATTCTTTAAGTTTGTTGAGAAGAGAAGTGGCTTACCCTACCTTATCTCATAAAAGTTTGACTTCATAACCTGCAGGGCACAGCTGATGCTGTTAGGCAATACTTGTGGCTATTTGAAGAACACAATGTTTTGGAATATCTGGTTCTTGCTGGTGATCATTTGTACCGAATGGATTACGAGAGATTTATTCAAGCACACAGGGAGACTGATGCTGATATAACTGTAGCTGCATTACCCATGGATGAAAAGCGTGCTACTGCATTTGGTCTGATGAAGATTGATGAAGAAGGACGCATAATTGAATTTGCAGAGAAACCGAAGGGAGAGCAATTGAAAGCAATGAAGGTGAATTCGAAATTACAAGGCTGATTCATAAACTGTTCTGTCCTTGTAATTACAAGGCTGGTTAGCCTAAGTGAACCACCTTTATAATTGTCCTGTTTTCTTTCTTACAGGTTGATACTACTATTTTGGGCCTTGATGATGAGAGAGCCAAAGAGATGCCTTTCATAGCCAGCATGGGTATTTACGTTATCAGTAAGGATGTTATGCTGAACCTTCTTAGAGAAAAATTTCCCGGAGCAAATGATTTTGGGAGTGAAGTTATTCCTGGTGCAACTTCCCTTGGAATGAGGGTAAGCATATAACACTTTTATACACTAGAGCAGCAAGGACATGAGGCCTTGGCTTGTGGTATCACCTACCATGAAGTTTGTGTTCAAGCCTTGCGCTGGTCACCAGCCCAGGCAATGAGTCCCGGTTATAGAGATCCAGCAGCATAAGCCAATCGATTCTAGGAAATAAAAAAAAAATAATATAGGTTAGGTCTGTTTTTGTAATGGTCTTGATGATATATACCATTGGTTTCTTTTGTGGAAAGTACCAAAAAATGAGAGCCTTGACCATCCAACTGTCTAGTGCAAACTGCAACATTTCATGTATCTTCATGAATGATTCAAAAAATGAAAAAAGTTAGAGTTCTAGATGAATTAGAATTTGATGTTGAACTCGTGTCACTTTTGACTATTCTTGGTTCAGATAACTTCAGGGTTTCATTTACGGTTGCGATCTCTATAATAAAGATGTTGCTTTGATCTTTGTAGGTGCAAGCTTACTTGTATGATGGCTATTGGGAAGATATTGGTACCATAGAGGCCTTTTACAATGCGAATCTGGGGATCACCAAGAAGCCAGTACCAGACTTTAGGTAATTTAGTCAAGATTGATTCGGTTTACCCATTTTTAAAATGTTTAAGTTATCACAACATTCGTTTATTTGATTCCAAAACACCCAATTGCAGCTTCTATGATCGTTCATCTCCAATCTACACCCAGCCTCGGTATTTGCCGCCGTCGAAAATGCTTGATGCTGATATCACAGACAGTGTCATTGGCGAGGGCTGTGTCATCAAGGTAACTTCTTTACGAGCAGGGTGGCTCGCTGCTATGCTAAATTGTCTCCGCTGTGTTATTCCTTCCCCTTCCATCAGTTGGAATAACCCCTTTTATTCTCTCCTCAGAACTGTAAGATTCACCACTCTGTCGTTGGCCTCCGATCTTGCATATCGGAAGGTGCAATCATAGAAGACACGTTGTTGATGGGTGCAGATTATTATGAGGTATGTGGCTTACAATAACCTCAATTTGCCAAAGGTTTGAGATAATTTTGAGACTTGTGCTTCATTTTTTGAATCATCAGTAATTAAGGGCCCTCTTAAAAAGTACTTATAGATTTTCAAAATTATCTGCCTTATAACTAGACTGGAAGAAAATTTTGAAAATGGCTGTTCGTTGATTAAAAACATTTTCTACCGTTCCAAAAGTCTTGCCAAACTCAGCTAAAGCTATATCTTGGTATAGAGTGTTATTCCAAGCGACTTGCCGTTGCTTGTGTTGCACTTAGTTTGTAGACGGATTAAAACTAAATAGTTGAAATAGATTGGAAGATAAAAATATATAAGGATTCCAATAATGCCCAGGACCTCGAATGGGACCTCAAGTCATTCGAGGTACTTTGAACCCTCCCCTCTTGGGATCACTCAAACCTAAACCACACTAACCGTCATCCTTCCTCCTCACTCTATTTATAATAAATCCCAGCAACTTTCCTGACTAATTACTATAATATCCTTAGTGATTCGTTTTGTTGTGGTGTTCGCCAGACGGACGCTGACCGTAGATCACTAGCAGCAAAGGGCGGTGTTCCAATTGGCATTGGCAGAAACTCTCACATCAAGAGAGCCATCATCGACAAAAATGCTCGCATCGGGGAAGATGTCAAGGTTTGTCATATTAACTTGCTCGCTTTTAATTTCATTTGCATCATATCTTGGTCCATAGACCAATTGGCATCTTGGTCTCGTCTTGATTTTCCATTATCCGTTGCTCCCATTGAGAAAGAACATAAAAGAACACGGACAAGTAGACAAGAAATGAGTTCAGTAGAGCTTCCTTTTTCTCTTAAAACTAGTTTTGATGGTGGGAATAAATCTGCTTCACATGGCCGCCCTCTTGCTGCCACATTGAATTCCTATTTCAATTTTAGATCAGTTAGAAAAACGTACATTAAATATAATGATAAGTCGAGACCAAAATGAGTACTCTGTTAAAAGTTCAGGCACCAAGATGAGTATAGTTCTACTTGTTAAAACATGTATTTTCGACTAAAAGGTCGTGGATTTATATTTCCACTCTCATATGTTGTAATAAAAAAAATAAAGAATGAAATAATTTTTTTTTTATATCCATGAGTGTCCGGGCCTGTTTACGCGCACCTCCGTCTGACCCTACAATATTTGGTGTGGAGAAACACATCAGAATTACTAATTTTTAAGATAAGAATGAAATAAATATGAAACTTCAAACATTAAAGTAGATATTTTAGAAGGGCAAGAATCAAACATATGAATAGATAAAGACACTAATTATCTTTGATATTGATGGTTTCATCCTCACCCCATAGCTCTTAGATTTTTCATATACTGACATAGTATTAGAAATTTTCCTAATTACTGAAGTAGATAAATGTTGCGGTAATTGACATATATCTCAAATCAAGATATTGTGAGTTCGATCTTCCACCCTCACATGTTGTACTAAAAAAAGAATTTTTTTTTTAGTTCTACTATATATATAATGTAGATAAGGATTCGAACTTCCAATATTTCGATCGAGGATTTTGTGTGATATTGAATGAATTTTCTGAGTGGCGGTTGATATGGGTGTCAGATCATAAATGGAGACAACGTTCAAGAAGCAGCAAGGGAGACAGATGGGTACTTCATAAAGAGTGGGATCGTGACTGTAATTAAGGATGCTTTGATTCCCAGTAGCACTGTCATCTAAAGCACTTCCCAACAAAGCACACATATTTTCCACTCAACTGGTGCCATCCTCTCTCTCTCTTCCTCAATTTTGATTCTGCCTTGCCCACATATTGATTTCATATTATGTCTCTATTTAACATTCCCTTTGGTAGTAAATGCAAAGTTTAGGAAGAGAAATCACTCCACACTCCACACTCCACTAGCTACTGCTACACACTAGTTATAAGTTATAACTTTTGCTGTAAATGTCCCCCTCCTCCTGCACTCAATGATTTTATTGCCTTTTTTTCTACTTTTCTAATAATCACCGATTAATTAAACTCTATTTTTCAAAAAATAAAAGTGTTGTAGGTTTGACTCTCTACTTTATATGTGACGTAACAATTTAGAAGAAAAAATGAAATTGAATAGATGAGTAGACCACTAATATTCCTAAATCATGAAAAATGAAGCATATCAGCGAGGTCAACAAGAATCGGGAAGTATTATTCTTTTAAATTTGACTGAAACTTAAAATTTGTTTTATGAAGTATAAATTAAATAGATAAATTATCAGTAAATAAACATGACTTTTTGTTTTTTCGGACAGCAAATGAACATGGATTTTAAGAAGAGAACTATAAATAAAATTGATGCCAAATGTAGCCAAGTGTTTCGTTTCCAAAAATTTTATACACTAATTTTCTGAAATTTCTAACTAAACTAAATATTGTAAAAAAAAAAATTCCAATAAAACAAATATACTTTCACAAGAAAATATGTACTTTACAAGAAAATATACTTTACGATTACATAATATTATGATATTGGCTCTCTGCAATGTGAAATCAAAAGTTTAATGAACAACAATTTCTTCAACTATTTGAGGAATTAGCATTGTTATCTAACTCCTCCTGATGGGTGTTGATTTTGTAAGATTTTTGTAATCGTCTTATTTATATGGGCTTTGTATATTCTTTCATTTTCCTCTCAATGAAAGTGCGGTTTCTTATAAATAAAATAAAATGAAACAAAACTATTCGACAAATTTGGAAACAGCATGAATTAAGAAATCTACATTTACATCAATGCAATTTGTTACAACATTACTTACAAAAAAAACTACCGCCATCGAACAAGCCTCTACTCCGACGTGCTTTTCCTCCATGAAAGGGCTGCCAACAATGGCTTTGCACTGTCAAAACCAACCTTCGTTAGCAGGCCAAAATGGAGAACTTCACCAACCAATTTTACAGGAACTGCATGAACGTGGACAAATTTTGGCATTCCCCAGAGTTCTTCCATCAAGATCTCCCAAAAAAACTAAGGCTGAACTAATGGAGATCTGTAAAGGGCAAAGGAAGGGGAAGAGAACTCTTTGGTGGAGGCAGAGGCAAAGATGAAGGAAAACTGCGGAAAATGGGAGGGAGAGAAGTCTAGGGCTAGGAAGAGGGAGAGAAAACCACGATGTAAAGCGAGGGCAGGGTGCAGCGCGTACGCAGAGCGCGCGATTGGAGGTGGGAGAGGGACACTGGACAGAAGTCTTGGGCTTCTTTTAGTTATATAATCGATCAACTCGATTTATGGTTTGATTTTGTCCAGGCCAGACCGAGCCAACCGACAATAATTGATGTTTCTACAAGGGAAAAAAAACTGCCACCAACTCTGAGCCCAAACTGAACTGGCTGTCTGACATTGGTTTGGTTCGGTTTTTGGTTTTAACTAGGACCCCTACATTGAGGCATGTGTTCATACTGAACTTTAAGCACGCAAAATAATAGAGACCCACCAATTACGAACCTACAAGAGATTAGCAAAACATAAATTAACTCGTCTATTGACATAATGGAAGTTACCTTTTTGTAATCTATCAAGACTATTTGGCTATAATATTTCTCCATTTATCTTTCAGATCAACTGGAGTACGAGTATCATCAAATACATGACGACCGAATTCCAAAATCTTCCTCCAAGGAAGATTTTTATTTGCTGTAGTAGAGAATTTCTGAACTCCTTCCTGAAAGATAATTTTACTTAGCACAGGAAGAATCAGACAATAATTTTCAAAAAAAGTAGTATTGGTTCATTTCTTGTCATGAACAATATATGGTATCATTCAGCTCCATCACACAGGACAAACCGATTGCACACAACATACATTCCTTAGGACTTAGCAAGGTATGAAATGGGACAAAATGCATAAACGATTGTATCTTGAAGGGAAATTTGGAAAAGAGTTCACAGATGTCAGTAAATATAACACATGCTTTGAATGCCAACTAAAAATGAAGCATCGTGAACCAGAGTATTCTTTAAGTTGATGCAACACAACGGATTGTTCAATTTTAAAAAAATGTAAGAGAGATCTCAAGAAAACTTTTCCACATAGTATATAATTTCAACCAGCTTTGCTAACACTCTGATAGGCCCCAGATTACTAAAGTATATCAACGTAAGCGGGTCAAAAAAAGGGAGTCAGCGTGAACGATTCATTACACATTTACAGGTGGGCCTAGGGAATATTTGTTAGTTATGTGTGGCCCGGTAAGGTATATCTGGAGGGAGGGGTAGCTAGTGTGGGGATCTCTGGTTTTTACTGTGGTTTGTATTCTCTGTTGAGAACTTGGGAGAGGAAGGGAGCTCTCTAATCTCCCTTGACTTGTCTGATAAATAAAATTGAGGCCTAGGCCTAACACACTCAAAGGAGAACTTAGTATTCCATCCTAATAACCATGCCGGTGCATTCAAATATAACCATATCCATTATGATTCATGAAGGCATTATCTGGAACCTATACAAATTTAGACAGTGAAGCCTCAATTATCTTTTGGCCAAGTGATAGAGTTTTTTATAATCTCCCTTTTCGTAATAATTCACACCATCACTGAAATATCTATTTCCTAAATTTTTAAATATATATACACACAACTTTAACTAGTTTACACACGCACCTATGACGTGCAAGACTCGTATGTTTTATTGAGATTTCAATATTAAGCAAATTGTGGTAGTTACTAAAGACTGCTGTGTTTCTTCCATAGTTTCATTTTTTCCCGTTAGGCATGAACTAATTGTTTGGGATGTCTAGAGTGAGATAAAAAGGAAACAATTTGATCACAGAAAGGAATAGAGATCAGTTGATTCTATTGTGGAAGAAGAAATCTGGTGATAACCAAAGATGCTAAAGGCCAAAATATCTTAATTGATCAATTTGTACCTTCAACATTTCCTCCTCTTCAGTAGACCAAAACAATCTCTTCCGCTTGCCGCCATTAGAATCCAACTTTTTACTGCAAAGCAGGAAACAATTGTTATTTGCAATTACTCTTCTTGATCAGACATTGCTGAAAATTGACAAGGTACTGCAATCCAGTAATATAGAAATTGAATGATCGCCTACAGTGGGACTTACAACTGGTTGGGAGATACTGGTTGCAGCTTTAAATTTCTGGGCACAGAAACTTTCTCAATTTTGGTTACATGATTTTTCCCAGGTTCTGGAGTTCGAATCCGAGTTGACTTTCTAGGAGAACTAAAATTCTGTAGGTCTATTCTCCTATTTGCTTTAGTTTTAAAGCGCTTTTTCTTCACAATTGTTTCATTCTTCAAATCACCATTTCCAGACCCAACATTGATATTTTCAAGCATCCCTTCTTTGTCAAGCTGGATTTGTTCTCCACCATCACCATTGTCTTGAGGTTCTCGTTCAACCCCATGATCAACGACATCTACAGCAGTCTCTTCCTCGTCATTATGTGCATTTGAAGTCTCTGGTTGACCTCGATCCTTCACAATCCCTTCATTCTGAATGTCATCTGTCAACCTTAAGGTTTCTTCTTCCATCATTTTCCCATCGTCTTTATCTTCCAAACTTTCAACCAGATGAGTTCCAGATGCATCAGCCTCACGAGTTTCCTCTTCGTTCATAGAATCCTCAAGAGGCTGAATTTCAGGAGTTGAATTTATGCTGTTGCTAACATTAGACACAATAGGATTGTCGTGATTTTCAGCGTTAACCCCCACCGTCGATCGAGCATCTCCTGCTGTTTTCTCATGGTCCTCCCCTTCATTACTTTGATTTCGCTCCACCTGCACAGCCTGATCTCCCAGACTCTCACTGCCCAGATGACTCTCATGATCCGGCAGATTCACATCCACTCCACAAGTAGATGCTTTCTTCTTAGCTGCCTCTCCTATCTGCGGCGAATTGCCACCACTAACCATCCTGGTGTCAATAAAATCAGACAAAGCTTTCTTTGCCACCATAGCCTTTCTCCTCAACTCATTCGCCCGTACCAGAGCTTTCTTATAGGAACAATAAGGACAGTAGAAGCGCCCCTCTTCGTCGAACGTCGGTTCACACGACATACAGTACTCATGAAGAGCAATTGGACAGCCAATTTCAGTACACACCAATAAGCCTCCGCTCTCATCACATCTAATACAAGTGTCCTTCCGAAAGCAATCTACCTCGTTTGACACATCCTGCGTCTCATTCGCTGATGCCTCATTCAGAATGTTATCTTCTGCATTGGGCGCGTCCTGACCAGATACAGATTCATCATTTTCACAGCAAATAAACTATGAGCAAACAGTCTCTTATCTTTCTTCGAATTATTCAAAAATCGCATTTCGAATTCATACTAAATATTAGGTCAATCAACATTTTCTCAGCAAAACCCACGCAAGTAAAAACAGAGAGCAGTTTGAGCCGCGAAGAACGAGAGAACAATGAGACGACTGACTTGTTTGAGAGAGAAACAAAAGGGAAAAGAGCTCCGTTGCTGTGTAAAGAAAGTGAAGTGAATACGAACCCGGTCGGTGACGGAGGGAGACGCCGTAGACGACGGAGTAGAAGCGGCGGAGGAACGCCGGGAAGGCTTCGACCTTCCGCCGCGGCGATTCTTCGTCCTCATCTTCTTCCCGCGAACCCTAACCTTACAGAAAAATCTCAGACCTTTTTTTCCTTTCTTTCTTTGATTTTCACTTCCAAGAAGAAGAAGAACGATTTCGTTTTCCCTCGAAATTTTTGTTCTCCAGAGGGAAAAAAAAATAGGTGAAATCTCGAGATTCAAATACAAATTTTTTAGATCAAATTGTGATTTTTTTTTCCTTTTTTTTTTCTTTCAATTCTTGTGGTGAGGTCATTTTCATTCTCGAATTTTAATTAATCAAAACATACAAATAAATGTTGCAATCTTTTTTTCACCTGTTCTCTATATATTTATCTCTTCATTGATGCTCTCTTTGGTCTCGGATTTTGAAGGAATTCAAAATCACAACGGATTTCAATTGATAGCACATGATTTTGAATAATATATTTCAAATCCTATTTTTATTTTAAAAAAATTCCAGATCAAAATGGTCTAATTTGGAAGGATTTGATAGTCTTTCGAAATAAATTATCTATTTAACCTCGTCATATTTTAATTTCTAATTAGTAAATTTAGAATATTCTATTTTATTTTCAGTGAACATTCAAACAAATAAATCTAATTTAATTTGTTTCAGATCATTATCGTTTCAAATAAGATAAAGAATTTAAAATTATTGCTCCGACTTCAAATCACGAAATTTAAAATTATTTCAACTTTTTGATGCCAAACAGATGGTAAAATGGCTAAACTTACGAAAAAAAAAAAAATATTAACATATTATACTTTCTTCACTAAATTTTTTGAAATATAACTATAAATTTGATGGAAATGATTTCTATTGTTTATAAAAATCGTGCTAAAATTTTGCAATAAGAAACCAAATTGATCGCTCTTTACAAGTATGGAAACCTAAATGAATTTTTTAAAATTACAACTATTAGAATAAATATTTTTAAAGAATATGAATCAAAATAAAGTAAAATCAAATATACATTAACCAAAATAAACAAGTTACAAATACAAGCATCCAAATAATATTCAAAAAATATATAATCAATAAATACCCGAATTATTACAACAAACAAACAAAAAAAGTAAAGTTTACGACATTTACTAATTCAAACGAAAATCAAAATTAAACCGATTAAAATACACGGTTTCAACTCTTCAATAAATCTCTCGAAATTTAAGTAAAAATAAATAAATAAATCTCTCGAAATTTATTAATTTAGACAAAATTCTAATAAGAAAAAAAAAGGTTGTACTAAAAAAGGGGGTTAAACCGAGTGGTTCTATTACATGTTTTAGAGCAAATGACAAGCTGACACAATGTAGATGAACAATGAGATTAAATCCAAATTAAAAAAAAGGTAGTTGTATGAAATTACGACTTTGACCTTTTTAGTACGATAAATGTGAGGTATTGGCCAACACGACATAGTTCAGTGGTTAAGGCACCTTACTATTTATCTTGAGGTCGGAAGTTCGATCCAATGTGTTCATATTTGTTGTAGTTTAAAATATGTATATAATAATAACTATAGTTTAAAATATGTATATAATAATAACTAAATAAACAAATGTGGAGTGTTTAGATTTAGAACTATAGTATATATCATTTATCAACCATCAAACGTCAACTGTGTAACCAAAATTCGAATGGTGTTTTTTATTTAGTTTTTAACACTGACATTGGGATAAATTGCATGTGTGACTTATGTAGTTGGTGATTACATCAATTCAACTCATATTTTATTTAATAGATACATCACATCAATTATTTATTGGGATGATAATGACGGGTGTGAAATAGGACAACATCCATTAGGACGCTTATTATGTCAAATGATCTTCCAATAAATAAAAGGTACTAACATAACTTCGATTTCTAGTGCTCTCCTCATATAAAATTTGTAATTCCCCATAAAAAAGGTATGCAATCTTTTGCATTCAAACTAAGTCGGCTTCAGATAAGATCACACTAAGTTATAACTTAATTTTCGTAGTATATGTGATCGAGTATTATACCAGTACGAATTACAGGTACCAACAAATCATACGTTATAATCCACGTAAAATAACTGGATAACAGGTCACCTCGTCTAGAGAACACGCATCAACAGGTTCTTAAAAAGTTGACATCGTATGAATATCAAATAAATTACAAAATTTATTGGACATTTTTTCTAAATTAATGAGATTAAACATAAATAGTTATTAAAATTTCTTATTAATATTTGATAATTATTTAGTAACGAAATTCCAAATTTGCCCCTCTCCAGTGGCGGTGCCACGGTGGCCGCACCGCAGCACACAAAATACAAAAAAAAAAAAAACAGAAATTAGGGTTTATAACACATAGAAATGAATTAGCAAAAACAATTGAAAGTTGTCAGAGAATCAGGTCGTACGAAGCTTGCTCTCTCGCTCTTGTTCTTCGCTCGAATCTTCGCGCGCCACGATCAGGTCTCAATTCTCAATCTCGACTTCTAATCGGTCTTTAATTTGTTTGATTATATTGTATTTGGAGTTGATTATCGGATTTATGTATTTGGGTCCTCACTTCCTTCCGGCGGTGGGACGTTGATTATCGGATACTGCGTTTGATCGTTTTATATTACATTGTGGAACGTGGGTTCAGAAGTGAATTTGATGTTCGTTTTTCCTGATTTGCATGCAGTTGTTCTCATGGCTTCGAATAGTAACAAGGATCTTCTTTCTGGTAAGCAGCTAAATTATGGGGCCGCAGTGTGTCATAGCCATATACTCCGTGTCTATACGTTGGTAGTAGTGTGCAATTAAAGCAATTAGAAATTGGGTCGTGTTTACAGTATAATCCATATATATATATATTGAAGTTTATGGGCTTGCCTACTATAATCCTACTGCTTTGAAAAGCTTGTTAGGTTCAACTTGATTCATAAATTACACTCGAATTTACGTTTTTCTTCGGTATTTCGAGGATAACATGGCGATGTAAGAGCAAAATTCTAGAGAAGGATTTCTTTTTCCATCGATAATATCCCCATCTCCATTTCTTCTCCTAGTTTCATCTTTCTGAATGATTTGAAGTTGGAATATGCGTTACTCTCTCCAATGTAACTTCGTCTTTTTACAGGTTCTTCAGACAGCAAAAACGCTAAACCCGAAACATCCTCCTCGGAGCAACAGGCAGCACGCCAAAGAGTCAGCTCTATATTTGAAGACATACCTCAGGACAATCCGTTTGATTTCTCATCCATGACTGACATTCTTAATGTAGATGATTACTCTTGAACTATTTTTTAGTTTTTTTTTTCTTTTTTAAGCAGTAGATTTGCTCTTTCAAGCTTTATTTTTTGGGCTTAATCTTCGGATTGAACTTTTATTTTATTATTATTAAACCTTGTTTGTTGCACACTGAAGTTTAATTTATGATACATGTAGGATCCTAGCATCAAAGAATTAGCTGAACAGATAGCAAAAGATCCTTCATTTAACCAGATGGCTGAGCAGCTTCAACAATTTCAGAGTCCACCAGCTCAAGAAGGAATCCAGTTCAATCCTGAGCAATACTTTTCCACCATGCAACAAGTCATGCAGAATCCTCAATTTATGTCTATGGCAGAGCGTCTTGGTAGCACATTAATGCAGGTATTTAATCTCTTTTTAGTTGATTGAAAGTTTGAAACTACTGCTTGTTGATTGATTGACTATTTATTCTGATTATACTTTTGTTGTAGAGATAAAAGTTAACTGCAAATTGCTCGATTTTGTTCACAGGATCCATCTATGTCTCGCATGTTTGAGAGTTTTTCTAATCCATCGGACAGTGATCAGCTTGAGGAGCGAATGGCACAGATTAAAGAGGATCCTTCGTTGAAGCCTATATTGGAAGAGATAGAGACCGGTGGTCTACCTTCCATGATGAAGTTGGGAAAATTCCGAAGCACTGGATTTTCTTCATCTTATTCAATTCACCTAATTATGTTCTTGCTGAAACAAAAATTTCCTTGTCCTTAGGTACTGGAATGATAAAGAAGTCTTACAAAAGTTAGGGAAAGCAATGGGTCTTCCACTTCCAGCTGAGGCAGCTTCATCTACGGACAACGCTGGGGTAGATGATTCTGAAGAAGTGGATAATGAGGATGAGTCGGTTGTTCATCATACTGCTAGTACTGGTGATGTCGAGGTACACTACAATTGTTTTTTTTGTTTTGCACATGCTGCATGGCCGTTATAGCTCATGCCAGTTGCTATTATATATATTTTCCAATTCTTGTGTAGTTGTGTAGGTGAGAACGTTTATGTGATGCTATACTCAAGTCATTTGTTTTACATTTTAGTGAATAAGATGAGGAAATTTTCAAGATCAATATAAGTTCAGTTGTTCCCAATTGCTTATTGTCATATATCTATCTCTCAGTTGTATTGACCTCTTTGCTGGACCTGGACCATTCAATTTATGGTCGTCCCAGGTTTACTTATTCTTTTGAGATAAGATTTTGTTTTGTAACGTGAGAACATTTCATTGTTTCACTGTATTGTCTTCTGTAAAATTTTTATTTAATCTACTTGTTCATGTTTTACCCATGAACAAATGATATTTTCATTAAAAGAATAGCATCTTTTAGTGTATAATAGGATCCTTCCTTGTATACTATGGACATATTTTACTTCATATACTCATCACAAAGGCTTCCCTCTCTTTCCTATTACAAGGCTTTTGGGATTTCTTCTCTGATCGATAGTTAATAATGTACTTTGTATATCGAAATATCTTCTATATGTGCTTTCATTTGTAGTAGCATAATCTATGCTTTGCATCTTTCATTTTTTGAAGTATCTCTTATTACTTCATGTCATCATGTTCGTTTTCCCCCCATAAAATTGAGTCATGTAACTTGGGCATCAGCTAATCTGCACCTTATGATTGGAAAAGCTCACAACCCTTCATTTGTTTATTCTCATGTAAAGAAACTTGTTAGTCTGAGGAACAACCTAATCTTCGTCGCCTTGTTAACTAGGGTTTAAAAAAGGCACTTTCATCTGGTGCTGACAAGGATGAAGTAGATTCAGAAGGGAGGACCGCGTTGCATTTTGCTAGCGGATATGGTGAGGTATGAATAATGTATCTTAGCTTTAAGCTGACTTTGTGTAATTTTTGTTAGGATCCCATTTTTCGTTCAATTGCTGATATATGTGAATAACACGAGGCATTTCTTCCATGTATTACTAAAGAAAAGTCCCACAGAAGAGATCCATTCTCTCTGGGAAAACTGGCAAATAATTTACGATTTCTAGAAATAGGAAAAAAATTTATCAGAAATTAAGAGTCGTTGACTACTAAAAATTGGATTTCATACCCGCAATTATATATTGTGAGGGACTTTAACAGGGTGCTCATAAAGTTGAATTCAAATGATTGTCTATAATCATAGCTTTGGACTATCCTTTTTTGTTCCTTGTAGTTAGAATGAGAACGCGTGCTATGCTATTATAGAGGATACTTATAGTTCCTTGGTGCTGGTTTTTCCTCATTGATTTAAGGTGTTATGAGCTAGGTGATATAGAACACGTTCGTATCTTGTTAAAAAAAACACGTAAAGTATTGTATAATTTATTTGTGCTCTGTTCATTATTTCGTTACATATACAAAATAAGGTTAAAGAAGCCAGTCTCAGAACCAGATTACTGTATTCAAAATATTTTGTAGGCAGCTGCAGTATCTGAATGCTTGTCACAGTTTAGTTCAAACTTTTAAGTGAGAATCACTGGGACCTAGGCTGACCTTCACAGAGAAAGTACTGTACAAGTTTTTATTTGGAATCAGTCTAGTTGTTGGGTATTCCTTTTGAAGCTAAGATGAGCCCAAATTTTTTTCCTCAGGTTGAATGTGCTCAAATCCTCCTCGAGGCTGGAGCAAAAGTGGATGCTTTGGACAAGAATAAAAACACTGCCCTTCACTATGCAGCCGGTTACGGCAGAAAGGACTGTGTGGCCCTACTCCTGGAAAATGGCGCTGCTGTGTAAGCTAGCTAAACTTCTCATTGTTCAGTAATGTCCCAACTTCAATTGCTCTCAATACACTCATCTGTTCCCCCACCCCTTATCTCTTTGCAGTACTCTCACAAACATGGATGGAAAGACACCAATCGACGTCGCCAAGCTAAACAACCAGAACGAGGTGCTGAAGTTGCTCGAAAAGGACGCTTTCCTGTAACTATGAACTCGGCGACACTTATGTGCAAGTTATTGCATCTTCTTGGTACGCAGTGACTTGATATGTAAGAACAGTTTCCTTTCCATTTGGTTCAAGTTCAAGTATATTTTTAGGACTGGTGTTGTCTTCGTTTTTGGTGTCCATGGCTTTGTCACAATAATTTTGTAGTTTCAACTGATTACATATACAGCCCTATTTGTACATTTGGTTTCGCCCTTTACTACATGTGGTTTATTTGTGTTGTAAATTATGTCAAGAATGGGTATTGCTGAGAATTCCATCTCTCTTAGAATAGAAACTCCAGGGATATGAACTATGCTTATACTGCGATTTCTCAGCGCAATTTCTACCAAATAAGTTAAAACAATGAAAATTGTAGCATCGACTACTTTTGGAATGGTAGTAGATGCTTTATTAGACACAGATTTATTTTCATATTTTCTAGTGTTTTCCAAAGTTCATTTAATATGAAACTTTTTTTATGTAAAAAACATTTTTAATGAATTTTTAGAAGGCATATCATTATTCTTTTAGGCTATCAATTCTGTATACCTCTACAGATCTTGGTAGAAAACTTGGGAATTTAGACTTGGATGTTACTACCTGAGATCTGAAAAGTATTTATGTACCTCAGTCTTGATCAAAATTTATGGCGAGTCTGAGGGTAATTAAGTACTTTTACACTTTTATGACCATAATAAAATATTGCTCAATATAAGAAAAGCGTTCTCTATATGCAAACATGAACATGGCCGGTGGGAAATGGGGCTCCTCTAGGTCGGTGGGAAATCTAGTTAAATGGTCTTGGACAGCTCTTCCTCCTAAGAAGGGAGGTCTTGGGGTGGGTCGTTGGATCTTCGAAATAAAGCCCTTTTAATGAAGTGACTGTGGAGGTTTGTTTTGGAAGGTAAAAGCCTGTGGAGAAGGGGTGATTGCAGAGAAATAAAGCCCTTTTATCAACAAAATCAGCCCCCTTCACCAAAAATGTCAACCTCCACCGCAGATTTGGAATTTCAGGGTCCCTAAAAAAGTGAAGTTTTTTCTATGGTCCGTCTTCTACAGAAGCATTAACACCCACTTGGACCAACTTGGACCATCTCTCCTTCAGTTTGCTTGCTATGTTTGAGGGATTCGGAATCGATAGATCATATGTTTTTCCATTGCCAATTCGTTTTGAGAGTGTGGTTTTTTTTTTTGCTTCGCTGCTGGATTTGGCTTTTTGCCTCCCTAAAACGATAGACGATTTTGTTATAGAAGGGTTCGGGGGCTATGCTCTCAAAGGAAAATCTAGCAGTATCCTTTGGAACTGTGCTGCTAGAGCCTTACTTTGACTTCTTTAGAAGGAAAGAAATAGTAGACTTTTTGAAGATAATAAGAAGTCCTCAGTGGATTCTTTTTGTGTGAATATTCAGCATAAGGCTTCTTGGCAGGCTACTACCCACAAGAAGGTTTTTTGTAATTAGTCTTTAAATGATTATACGAGTTGCTATTGTTTAGTTTCGTGGGGAGAGTTTTCTCAACCCTCTGCCTTTGGGCTATCTTTGTTTTTTTTTTTTTTTTAATTGAAATATATTCTCTGTTTCTTATCAAGAAAAAAAAAACATGAACATGGCTCACTAGCAAGGGCAAATGATATCACTGAAATTAGGTTATGATATCACTGAAATTAGGTTTTGACAAAGTTTGTGATGAGTTCTGTCTATCCCTTTTCCTTTTCTATCCCTTCCTATTCCTATTTTGTAGTTTTCCTCAGAGAAAAAATCAAAAGATGAGTCCAATGTGTTTGTTTTCTCGGAGGACAATTATCAACATAGCTCTTTCATCCTCAATGGCCTACGGTATCCACAGCTTCATCATCTATACATTCTCACTCATCCATGTCACAGCTCCAAAATTCTGGCACACCCCAAAAATGACCAATTTCTGGCTCATCCATTGCTAGGAATACATTAGATTCTTGGCCTCGATCATTGTTCCTCATTCAACCTTCAGACCGTGTTCATCCATCATCGAACTCATATCAAGAGCCTGCAATTATCATTGTCAAACAAATTGTTTCGAACTTGCCACGTGTAAGAGATGTGATCAGTACAAGCTTGACCTTCACCTGTTTGCATGAGGCTTCAGCTGCTGCTCTTTCAAGACCTTTAGTTTCAGCAACATCTTCCTGGTTTATAAAAAAAAAAAAAAGTGTATGTTCACACAAAAGAGTGAAAAAGTATACCCGAGAGCGAACTATGCAATTTTGCTGCCTCCCTTTCATCATTGCATATGATCTACCTTACTAATTTAACTTGTGCAAACTTCGACTAATCTTATAGGACGATTGTTTAACTTTACTATATTCAATATCTAAGGAAATTTGTAGGCTATTAAATCTTAGATAGGTGGTCACTAGGTTTGAAACCATTGTTTTACTTTTTTAATCGGTCCGATGACGTCCTAACTAACAGTAATCAAAAGATCTGAATGCGGTCTTCTTTTACCACCATATGCAACTTTCATGCAGGTTAACCTTAATTTAAAAGAAAAAAGAAAAAAGAAGTGGTTCTCAACAGAACATAATTTAAAACCATAAATTTCACATTTCACCCGGCTTGTCAACGGCTTTCTGCATAAAGAGAATCACATAAGTTGCAAATACTTAAACAATCGCTTCCAAAAGACTTGGAAAGTTTGAGAAAATACCCCTCACAATCAATTTCCATGTCGGAATCTCGATCGCATCTCTCATCTTCGATATCCTCATCTGCCTGAGCTTCATAGAATTCAACCACAAACACCTTTAAAATTCCACAAAATGTATTTGAAAGGCAAAAGTTGACATTCACTTTTGCCACAGAGTGGCAAATAAGTGAAATAACAAGCAAACAAGAAAATTTTATGCATGCACTGGCACTGCAAATAAACTTGGAAGATTCATTTTTGTCCAGCACTTGATTAGTTCATGGAGGAGTTGAAAAATAAATCACAAATCTAGTCAGACAAAGGCCAACTCCATGAAACTGAAAATTGGTGAAAGGGTATCAGAAATTACCTCTGGTAGTTCAGTATCAGGAGGTCTTTCTTGAAACTGAACACTGGGAGCATGTTGAAGCTTTGAAAGATAACCAAGAAGATTTGCTCTTATATCTTCTAATATTACTCGTGAATTTTTGTTTTCCATATTACTAGGAGCAACATGCAGGGTATACTCAGGTCCGAAATACTCATAGTACTCGTGCTGCGGCATTATGTTGTCAATTTCCATTCCAAGTGCAACTCCGGTCTGTTTTCCATGTGATTAATATAAAAAACCAACTATGGTTACAACTAATTACCAATAAAGAAAAATAGGCCGGGCCTAAAATGTCTAATGGGCTGTCTTGGCAATGAAAGTAAATTATTGAAGCAATCAAATGAGAAATAGCAGTACAACATGGTAAATAAACATTTTCCAGCATAAAACATCTAAAAGGGTCCGGAATGTGAATGAGTTTGTTTTTCCCTTGACCTTGAAGCAAATTAGGTATATTCACAAAAAACCTTACTAGTGCCAATTTATAATCATACCCAGTGAAAATATCAAATAAAAAATAATTTACCTCATAACACCAACATCGAGCAACATTTCGAATAGTATAGCCACCGCCACCGAGCAGTAAAAGAGGTACATTGAATGATCTCATATATTTGACACATTCAGCATGACCTTTGATTGAAAGATTGAAACATCCTAGCCTATCTCCGGATAAAGAGTCAGCACCACATTGAAGGACGACGGCACCGGGCTTAAACACTTCCATAACCTTCCCAATTATAGGTTTAAACAAAAATTGATAACTTTCATCGTCAATCCCGTCATCCAATGGAACATTTAGGGAATAGTACTTCCCTTTCCCATAACCAATATCGCGAATATCCCCAGTGCCAGGAAAGTAATCACCAAATTTGTGGAATGAAACAGTCATCACCCTGTCAGTGGTATAAAATGCCTCTTCTACACCATCTCCGTGATGAATATCAATATCGACATATAAAACACGCTGCACAGTAAAAACATTTAGGTTAAAGCTTGTTGAACACTTAAACATGAAAACTATGCCTGAGCAATATCAGTTCCAAAAGAAATCAAGGACTCACAACAACAACATACACAGCTATTATAAACCACGGACTGTTGATAAATAACAACCCCATTCATTCAACATTTGTCTCTCCTAATGCTTAATGATATGATAAATAAAAAAAATAAATAACAAAGCTATCACACAGAACACTGGATGAAGAAATGCTTGTTCAAGTACTCACTTGCACAAACCCATGAAATGCCAACATTTTTTAATCACTAAATCGAGCTCTCTAAGAAAAATAAAAGAATACAAAAGGACAAACAAAATACGAGCCTACAAAAACAGTAGCCCAAAAAAATGAGCTAACATAATGAAACAAGAAAGGGTTTGTATGAACCTTGAACAAACCTCATAAATCGTGAATAACAGTTATAAATAAAGAAATCAAAGTCGTGATTGGAATTCGAACAAACCTCATGCTGTTTAAGAAGCTCTAAAATAGCCAAGACAATATCATTGACATAGCAAAATCCGGAAGCCTCACACTTCTTAGCATGATGTAGGCCACCAGCCCAATTAACAGCAATGTCACATTGGTTGTGATTTAACTTCACAGCGCCACCAACCGAGCCACCAGCAGATGTTTGACAGAACGAGTAAAGACCATCAAACACAGGACAATCTTCACCGACATTAAAGCGCTTGAGCTGCCTCAGCTGATCCTGCTGCGTTTCGGGTGTAATACTTCTCAAGAATGCAACATAGTCATCAGCATGGAAACGGCAAAGATCCTTATCCTTGGCAGGAGTAGGTTTAAAGACCTGCATGTGCTGAAGTAATCCATAGTGAGCAAGAAGGGCATGGGTCATTCGGATCCGGTGCGGCTTCATCGCGTGACCCTGACCGTAATAGTAATTCCCGATTTCTGGATCATAGAAATAAGACACCTTCCTCTTCACCCCATCAGCCCCAGAAGGTAAAGAATTTCCCCCAGTGTCCATAGTATTTGCCCTATAGTCTGTCATGAGATTGTTCCAATAATCTTATCAAAAATTCCCCATCGTAATTTCAGCATTCAACAAGCATGCATACAAAGCATCCCTAGAGAAAAAGGAATTAAAACAGCAACGAAACTCTCGGATTCAAACATCCAATGATCCAAGCATGAACAAAATTTCAAACAACTCAAGTTTATCCTCTCATCTCATCATCTCCTCCTAATAATCGTTGACAACCCTCGAAAAACAGCCGGGAAAGAAAAAAACAACAAGAAATCAATTCGGATTATCTACCTAAATGATAGTTTCTTCGATCAAATCATACCAACAGACAGAACAGGGGCTTATACATTTACTGAACAATACCTGTACAAGCTTCAAAGCAAAACAAGAACAAAATCAAAGATTGAGACATGAATAGCAAACTCAATCAAATAGAAGCATGTCGTACTTGCTGTCGCCTGCCTGAAATATTTCCGATGAAGCAACTGGCCGGAAAATTGATGTCGAATATCCTGGAAAACAATGAAAAATATGGAATTAATCAGTTCAGATTCTATAGAACATCAACAAATAATGAAAAAACGAAAACCCAGAACCAGAAGGAGAAGGAGACTCTGGTAGAGCAATTAGTAAGCAGAAGCAGCAATGAAAAGAAAACTAGAAGAATGCGGAAGGTTGTCTTGTTGTACCTCAAGAAGTAGTAATAGACCATATAGTTTTCAAAATTACAATGGTTCTACCACAATATATATAGTGGGTTGAATTACCAGTTTTGCCCCTAACTTCTAGGATAAGTCAATTTAGATAACAATTCATCTCGGCATGGAGGGAAGCTCCGGCTATGCACTCTGCTGGGCTCGAACCAGGGGAGGTATCCCTATTTGACCACAAATCCATTGTGCCATCAATCGTGGGTAGTATTCTCTATGTCCCTTTATATTTTAAAATATTTATAATAGTTCATGAATTTTTAAGTTTGTATTTTAATATAAGTTTAACCTCTGTGACTCTATTATTTAAGAATTACGAGGTAGATTTTTTTTAGGTCAAAATATTATTTTGGTGTATGTACTTTCAGTTTTCATTTATCTAACTTTGGTTCTATTTTTTTCGTTTTAATTTTTATACTTCTAAGAAGTGATTATTTTATTTTTTATATATATTTTTATCACAATTTCAACACGATATTGCACTCAACGTATTTCTTGAAATCTAACCATGACTTTATATTAAAGGATTCTATTATGTGTATAATTTGTGTTAAAACTTTTGTAAATAGAGGCAAACTTTTAAACAGTACAATTATTAAAAATTTTTAAAAATATAAAAATTAAAATGAGTTAAATTTGAAAATACGGAACCCATATTGACAGTATAATATTCAAAATGAAGCAATCACAATAGTATTTTAACATTTTTACAATATTTATATATTTTAGGGCACATGTTCGAGTAAATGAGGTTTATGGAAATATGCCTATTAAGTACAAAACTTAAAGTTTATAAACTTATGGTAAATTTATTTAAATACAGTGATAAATAGATTCAGCCTGACAAAACTTTTATTTTTACTTTTACTTTTTTGGAACATGATTAGACGTAGGATAACTTACAAAGTTTCTTAAATATTATATATTGGCTTTCAGTATATTATCAAGATAAATTTAGAGAACCTTTGCAAATTAAAAAAAAAAAAGAAAAAGAAAAATAGAGCCCATGGGCTCACTTTTCATCACCGAGTCTCAGTCCACAAATTTCCGAGAGAAAATGATGGACCCACGGGCCCAATCTAGAACAATGTAGTAGTAACCCGCACTATATTAAAATATGAGGATGTGAAAAAACATTTTTTTTTGACATTTTTGTCAATTCCTTAATTTATTAATTTAAAATTATGTCATTAATAATTTATTACAAATATTAAATTAGTTATTAATTATTAATTATCAATAATAATAAATGTATAAGATCTAAATAAAGTTAGAATCCACAAGGTTAGAATACAAAAGGTTTTCACACCATAAAATTAATTTTTTTTTCTTTAATTACAATTCATATTAGAATTTCAAAAGTTTTGTAACATTTGATCTTCTACTACTATAGAAACATACTTTATTTCACTATTATTTCACAATACTTAATTATCTCAAAACATTACTCTCAAATATTATTCAATCTAAAAAACATCTCAAAATCACGTTTGGTGGCATATTCATCAAGTTGCGGAGAATTCCTGTATCGAATCTATGTACTGAATCCAAGGTTTGCAACGTTATTCTTCCATAATTTATGAGGTTAAATAATAGTGATTATCAAGCATCGGTATATTTTAGATTAGTGTTTCTAAAGTTTGCATTTTTTTTGTTACTATTGTTCTTTTATAATTAGTGTTCCATGTATTTAGAATGTTCTTTTTAGAAAATAATAATCATGTATTGATCCCTTACGAAATCATGTTGATGTTGTTGGAAAAAAAATCGTGTAAAGATATCAAAAGTATTTAATTAATTGTAAATAGAAAATTAATAAATTAATTATCAACCATAATTGGTATGAAATCTAAAAAGTTTGAATATATAATTTTTTTGTCTTTTCCTTTTACAATAATATAATTTAAAGATATTTTTAACAATTTTAATTCTAATATGAAGTTAGATTGAAAATACTCCGTGTATTTGCCCAAACCGGTAGGTAGGTCCTTGAGCAGATCCCACGTTAGCCCCAAGACGAGTACATGTTTGAGCTTAAGTAAGTTAGGTGATCATCATAATTTTCCTCTAAATAGTTCAAAATTTAGCTTGACTCATTTGTACCGCTGGGCCAATCTCTAATGGTTGAGATTGTGATTATTAAGCGTGGATAAACAATGAAATCAACATGCCCAAGGACGTTTTATTCAGTATTTAAACATTTGCAATAAGATGAAATTTTTGTCCTTAGATTCATGACGGCACGGTCAAAAATTAGGGTAGAGCGACACTTTTTAGTTTGAAGTTGTCTCCATAGTTTCATCCAATCTTGTCATGTCATACTAAATCGTATAATGTTTATCTAGTAAATAGGTTACATTTACATCGTTGTTTTGTTAACAACGTTAGGCATTTTATACTAAATAATTAAAAATTTGTAATTCATGTTTTTTCAAATACTACATTACCTACTAAATCGATCATAGTTCGAGTGGTTAAGATACCTATCTCTAACTAAAAGATCAAGAGTTTGAAATCCCCGCTCCCATGAACCAAAGTTGAAAATAAATGGACAAAAATAGTATATTAACAAAAAAAAAATAAAAATAAAAAAATAATACCAACGACATGATACAATTGCTTAAGAAATCTATGGTGGTTGTTTGTACCTCTGTTGTAAAAAAAAAATGGAGAGAGAGATATCTCCAACAGAAAAGTTAGAAAAAAGTGGGAGCAAAAAAGATATTTTTCCATTTTGTTTCTCACGGAAAAGAGAGAGAAAGAAAAAGGGGAATTCCATTGAAAGAAACGGAGAAAGGAAAAAGCAGCATGAGTGGGGCCTACCATCGATCACTGTTGTTTGGCAACTGAGAAAGATGGCTCCAAAATTTCCCGGAAAATGAGAAAATCGAGAATTGTACCTTTTCATGCTCGTCGTAAGATGTCGATAGGCCTTCTAAAGCTCAGTGAGGTCTGGATTCTATGGTCCTGTTTCACTTTCACGTGGTTTTCTCTGGAGTAGATATTTCTGCTTACAAATCAAAAAGATGAACCCGACAAATTTCAGTTCAGACAGTGAGAAAATATCTAGCTGCTCCTTCATCACCTTCTTATTTTTCAACTAATGTGCTTGTATTATCCATTTTTTTCATATGGGGTTCGTTGATAGTGATGGAATGTACGCCGAAATCACTAAAAACATAGGTTTACCAACTTGGCAGCTGCCGTTTAGACACACCCAAAAAAGAAAAAAGCCACAAGAATGTAATGTTATCTCTTAAATTCATAGGCTGTTTCCTGTTTAGATTTTCCCTGAAACTTCTTCTTCTCATTCCATCTTTGATTGTAAGAGCGTTTGTTGATGGTAAATCGAGCAAAATGATTTTCAACAATAAAAAAAGTTCACTGTTGTGCAAAATATTTCCACTGGAACTTCTTCCCTGCAGGTCAGTTCCTGTTCTAATTCATAATTTTTTGTTGGTGTTTTTTTTCCATCTTCCTCCTTGGAACCAAGACATTTACATCTCATTCTTCCTCCACTGCAAATGGGTGTCCTATTTTTTTGTGCTAGCTGCAGTTCCATTTGGGTGTAAAGGTTCAGTTTCTGACATGTTCTTCATTTTCATTCTGATAGATGCCTTCTTTGTTTTGTGTTCACAAGTTCGTTTTTGTCGAGACTGCTCATTGGAAGAAGTCCCAGATTAATTATAAGTCTGTTAAATTCTGATATTATTTATTATAAGCCAATTGTAAGTTACATATAGTTGAGAGAGGTTGTACATTCTGTTATATGGTAGCTAGTGATGTTATAAATACTACTGCTCTCTGTGCAATTCGGTATTGAACTGAATACAATGAATTTGAGCTCCATATTTCTCTTTCCCATTCTCTTTCTGCTTTTCCTTTGAGTATAATTTCTTCAGTTTTACACTTTGACTTGTTGGGATGGCAGTACGTTCCGTACGCGTGTAAGAGAAAGAGATCGGAAAGTTGATGAGGAGAGCGAAACCAAAGACCCATCAAGCTATAATCTCTCATCTTCTGCTTATCAAATCAGCCCTACAGAGAAGAGGACACCAACTGAAGTCTTTCAACTGCCTGTAAGCTCAAGAGATGGGCATTCCAAAGACGAGAGTGGTGCCACTCATGTACAGGATGAGGCTAAAGCATCCCTCACTTCCTCTCCTCCTGCTGTCAGCATTGAAGCATCCAGAAAGTGGATGGCATTTGAAAGTGATATCACAAAGACATATGCAAAGAAATTTGATCGAATCGGGTCATCTTTTGCTGAACTCTTGGAAGCAAACATGACAGAGAGAATTGCAGAGGAGATTAAGAATGATGTTTTGTCGTCGCTGCAATTGACTTTTGTTGTATCGGATGCAACGAAACCAGATTGCCCCATCATGTTTGCCAGTAATGGATTCTTGGTCATGACTGGATATACGTCAGAGGAGGTCATTGGAAGGAACTGGTAAGGAACGAATCAAATGTTGTTATGTGATAAATACTGCACTTTTGTTGAAAATGTTGTCGTAAAGACGCATTCCATCTCACAACAGATTCAAGTGTGTTACTATAACTGTTGAACTTTGATGCTCCATTTAGTTAAAATAAATGAAGATGAACTTGTATTGAACAGAGGTATTTTCCTGAATTCTGATAGCTTAAAGAAGTTTTTATTTTCCTCATTCTCATGTTGATATTGGGCTATAGCCGGTTTCTTCAAGGACCAGAGTCAGACAAGAATGAAGTAGCAAAAATACGAGATGCGATCAGAAAGGGGAACAGCTATTGTGGCAAGCTCTTGAACTACAAAAAAAATGGCACCCCATTCTGGAATCTTCTCACTATTGGTCCTGTCAAAGATTCACATGGCAACACCATCAAATTTGTTGGGTCTGTCTTTCTACCTTTTCCTTTCACTTTCAGGTCTTCAAAATAAATATTTTCTTCTTGTTGTTAACAAAAACGTCTGAACCTTTTTTTTTTTGTGGTGAAAAGGTTCTCCACTTAAATTATGGGGTCTTCCTTTATTGATGGTGACTTTTTTACATAATGCACACTACATTGGTTGTTTTAATCTGCACTCTTCACCAACTAGTTATTTTGCTAAATTTTATTATGGTTAAATGTTACAACTAAGCAAGTTGGTGACACTGACTGAAATTCCTGAGGTGCTTTTCTCAGAATGCAGGTTGAGATTGGAAAAAACACGGAAGGTATTAAGAATTCATCATATTCAAACAAAACAATACTTGATGGTTCGCTTGTTTCTTCAAATTTGGATTTAAAGTGATTTATTGCTTAACTTCACTCATCTTTGATATTTCAGAGAAAGAGAAGAGAATGAGGTCCATGTCCATTACAGAGGTCCAAACTGAGAAGGCAATTAAGTCCATTGTAGATGTCCCAACTGCGAGAAGTCTAAGGTCTTACATTCGGTCAAAAAGGCATGATACTGATAGAAAGCACAAAGAGCTGGAAACAACCGAAATTGGTTATGCGCTGCCCGAGACCGTGGATAATGAGAATATTAGCATACCTGATAACCAAAAGGCTCAGTCAGACCTAATAAATGCTCTGTCCTACTTCAATTCATATGAGGATTTGAGACCGAAATCAGGATTATCAGGTCTTGTTTCCTCAATGAGGTTAGTTTTCTGTCTTTGATCTAATTACATGAATGAGGGAAGAATGATTCCAACTGTCAAATAAAATTTTCAGTATATATACATGTATATTATTTAATGGCTGGATATTCTACTCAAGGCTGACTTTGTTGGTCTCTTTTCACCCGTTCCTTCATTAGAATCACATTTCAGAATCCTTTTTCTTATGCAGGTTCAAAGAAAGGCCTATAGGCTCAGTAGAACATGAAGGAAGGAGAATTATTGAGACATCGGTTTTGAAGCCTAAGGACGGTGGTCGTGTTGCTAAAAGAGAAAGGGACATACGTCAAGGAATTGATTTAGCAACCTCACTGGAACGGATAGAGAAATCCTTTTTTATCACTAACCCAAGACTACCTGATAATCCTATTGTAAGTTAGAGAGTTTTTGGTTATTTCCATTGTCCTTGGGTAGCTGATGAAATATTTGTCTAACATATGTTTACTTGTAAATAATTACAAAGGAAGCTTAAAGAATACTGTAAAAGAATTGGAAAAGAGGACGGGAAGACACAGAATTACTAATCTGTTCTATTTTTCGAGATTCCATTATGGTCCTATTTACTTAATGGGAACGGGATTAGAGAGAATATGAATGAAAATGGATCATAAAGAAAAAGTATGAAATGAGAAAAAATTCTAGATTTGTGTTTACTTATGTTATTTTGGAATAAGAACTGAAATGAATAAAATTATTGTCGATATTATTACTAAACATAGTAGAGAAATCAAATTGAAATTGACATGAGATTGTATAGTGAAAATGAATAATAGTGGGACCCATAAAATAAGGAATGAGGATGAGATTGATCACATTTTATGAATGAATGACAATCCTTAAAAAATGGGTGAACGATTCTTCAAATTTTAAATAGGCCTATTCTATTATTCTGTTCCCAAGAATAGGAAAGATCCATTCCAATTTCTCCCGAGTCAATATGACTTTTATGAAGGTGTCTTCTTCATTTAGTTGCAAGTGTAGTAGACACTTGGTTTCAGTAATTTCTTGATGTGGATGAAATGATACAATATGAAATTGAACTTGTTTTGGGTTAGATCTTAAAGGTGGTTTTACTCGACATTTTTGTGCAGATATTTGCATCTGATATATTTCTCGACTCCACGGAGTATACACGTGAAGAAGTGATAGGAAGAAACATTGGGTAAAATTTCACTACATGCTTTCTTTTGCTTATATACTTGAAGTTGTTCTATCTTTTCCTCGTCCATCTATGTTGTGCTCTTATTTTGTCACATTGTCTGTTCGAAGCTTGGAACTTATCCATTTTGGAATATATGTTATCATAACCCGCTTAAGATTTATGGTGCCTATTTTATGCACTTTCATGTTACAGATGTTTATTATTATTATTTTTTTATCAGAAAACTTCCTTTCATTGAGATAAATTGAAAGAATACAGAACTACCTTTTCTATATACTTTTTTTGGTTTCTTTGCTACTACGGGCTTAAAATTGGAATCCATCGCATGCCCATGTGGTAGGTAAACTTATGGCAAAAATTCCCTTCAGGCAGATACCTTCACTAAAAGTTGGCTTCTTTGGTGGACGGTGAAGCCCCTCGCTCTAACATGAGAAAATGGAAAGCAATATTATCTCCTTATAGCTTTAATAGAACCCAAAGCTATAGTTTTGGCCTCTCTAGGCTTCACTATAGGCTCATGACTGGTATATGGATTTCTTTATTTGGGTGGGGTTGGACTTTTAGAAGCTTGGCTAGAAGCAATTAGTTGCTTCCCCAATGCCTTTCTGTTTAAGTATGGTCAAATCTTCTTTCCTATGCATTGAGACCACCACCTATTAGGCTCGATGAGCAGTCCATGGAGCTGCATCCATATTCACAGTCTGTCTAAATCGATCTCTCGAAGTAGTTGGCCGTATATCCTAGATATTCTCATTTTCAAATCTCATGCTTGATTTGGTTTAGAATCAATTCAAGTGATTATCTTTCTGTTTTTATATATATGTGTCCATGCAACATTTCCACGATATCGGTACAATCAATTAAATGGCTTTTGCTGGAAAGTCTTCTTGCCATCATTAGCTTGGATGGTCATCATTTCTAGTGTCACAGTCACCTTTGATGGCTCCCTAGCTTTCACTGAATAATCATTCTATCTTCTACTATCCAACATCAGTATCGTACATCAGTGAGAAAAATTATTAGCTTTATAATTAGTATTTATGACTATTTTAATTTGTTTCATTGCACAGGTTTCTTGAAGGACCCAAAACAGATCAAGCAACTATCTCAAGGATAAAGGATGCAATTGAAGAGCAGAAAGAAATTACTGTTCAGATAATCAACTATACAAGGAGTGGTAAATGGAATGCTTTTGATCCATGATTTTCGCTGGCTATTAATACTTTTGTGTCTTACAACTTGGAAGAACCTCAATATATAGTACACTTCTATTGTGTTGATGCCAATTTTGATCTTATGGTACGTAGGAAAGAAGTTTCCAAATTTATTCCACCTGCAACCTGTGTGTGGTCAGAAGGTATGATATGGATATTCTTTCAAATAATTACTAAGTTCTCATACTTTCTATCCATTTCAAGTTATGTACGAAAGGATCTTCTCTGGACTCCTGATATTGATAGGGCGAGCTTCAATACTTCATTAGTGTACAACTTGATGTAAAACCTTTGAGCGACCGACTTTCAGAAATAACGGAACATCAAAGTGCTAAGGTGGTTCTTTCTTTCCCCCCATTCACTCTTGTATTTCTACCATAGCACTACTATGGATCTTGACTTTGCTTTATGTTACTATGATGCTTCATTAACCATACATCTCTTTCAGGTCAAAGCTATAGCAGAAAATGTTGACAAGGCTGTCCGCGAACTTCCCGATGCCAACTTGGTAGGGTGCTTAGTTACTTTCCTTACGACTCGATTTGTTAATGTTTTTTCTTGTAGCAATTTTGATTGACTTCATTTTTTTTATGTTATGGTTTGGTTTCATTGTCATGCTTGTGAGTATACGTCGTTATATCACTTCTTCAACTTATGGAAGATGGACCGTGACACTTTTGGATATGCCGAAAATTTTCCTTTTGGAAGTTCAGTTCTTTGGCTACAGCTTATGCAAGTTTATACTGTATGAATATCAGAAACCAAATAATCTGTGGGCAATCTACTGTCAGCCAGTCTTGCCAAGGCCTCACAAGAAGTACAGTTCTTCCTGGCTAGCAATTCAAAAGGTAGATTTAAAATTTTTTTTTGCAACGATGGAGTAAGATGACATACTACTGACCCATAGTTTATATTAAATTTGATGTTTTTTGTATATTGTTTCGTAGATTACAAGTCATGGTGAAAAGGTTGGACTCCATCATTTTAAGCCAATCAAACCACTGGGTTTTGGAGACATTGGCAGGTGAATCCATCATTTCATTATCCAAAATTATGTCCAAGTCATTGGGATGCCCTTACTTGGCATAGTTCTTATCATGGTCCGCACGTAATGTATCCATTAGATGTGTCAAGGGTAATCTAAACTCTTTTAGCATGTTTAGAATATTGTCAATTCGAAGAGAAAACCTACATAGATCTAGAGTCATGAGAGATCATTTTTTCGCGATCGAAATAACTAATACAGGAAGAGTTAAACCTACCACAATCCTAAAATCTTAAGCTCTTCGGTTATGGTAAATTTAGTTACTTGAATATTATATTGATTAAAGAGGCTCTGATCATTGCTAAACTAAAAAATTTGAGCGGCTAAATTCGAACAGATTTAATAATTTAATACGTTCTAGAGCTCCTCTCTCTTGATTTCGAGATTCCAAAACTTATCACTTATTATTGGTCTAATCAAAAGTGATGGTTGTTGCAGCGTTCATTTGGTAGAACTGAAAGGGACAGGTGAATTCTTTGCTATGAAAGCAATAGAGAAGTCGGTGATTTTAAATCGTAACAAGGTTCGAGTGTAACAAAAATCTACATTCTGGTTCTTAATTTTCATTTTCTTCCCATGTTATACTTTCATTTAGTTAATCCCAGTTGTGCTAGTCAATTGCATAATATATATGCTTTTTTTGGTGGATTATAAATAATACTCTTTGCAAGAATCAACTTTTCTGTTGTTACTAGTGTCTAGCGATTAGCGAAAAGCTAACTCATTAGGAGTCGTCATGGGGCATTATTTGCAATTAATTGTTCAATTTTTTTTATCTGACATATGAACAGAAAGGTCAATTTGGGAGAGAAAACATGCAATTTTTAAAGTAGAAAGATTTATGATTTCAAAGGAAAAGAAAGGAGTAATTGTGCATAAGATTAAGTTATTTTATGTTCTTTACTTGGGGGTTAAAATTACGTGTTTTTCTTGTTTGTTTAACAGGTTCACCGAGCATGCATCGAAAGGGAAATCATAGCACTTCTGGATCATCCTTTTATGCCAACACTATACTCTTCATTTCAGGTATTGAAAAATGAAAATACCCATGTACACGATCATACTACTTCCTGCACTTATATAGCTGGTAAATTTCTTTAATTTTGAGCATTTCGATCATCAAGAGTTTATGAACCAATCACCATGGATTGACCTAGTGGTCGTTGGGGTCGATGAAAAATGAGTTCATGTTAGGAATAAAACAAGCTAACAAATATTATCTCAATCACAATTCCAGACAATATATGCTAACTAATCCCAGATCAGGTTCTGGTTCCAATTATAACATAAATAAATCAAATCGGAACTATGCTCAAAGAGTAGATAAACCAACTTAAACCTCAAGCAACAAGAACAATAAAATATAGGGAATAGAAATCGACACCGGATTTATACTGGTTCACCCAATGTGGGCTACGTCCAGTTCTCTGCTACCGTTGCAGGTTCCACTAAATGCCAGGAAAATCTTCAAGAGTTTACAAACGCTCTACAATGATTTCTCTCACTTTTCTCTCAAAGAAAAATGCTCACGAATCACTCTTACAAGCTTCTAAAACTCTTCAATAGAAACAAAACTTACAGAACTCACGTTTTTTTTCTTCTCTGTGAAGCCTCTCGAAGAACCTCTCGCCAAAGAACTCTCTTTGTAAATTTTTCTCACACTTAATTCTCTCTCTAGGGGTTGTTGAAAAATGGTGGGCGGCAAGATAATGATTTTTACATAAAAATATTATCAAACTTAACGAGGAAGCAATTTGGTGATGTTTTGGGCTTTGGCATGATTAGGCCCAATGAACCATTATTTCTTCAATTTGTTTTGGCTCCATTCTTAACAATTCAAACCATGATACCCATTACCCACCTTACCTAGGATTTAATATCATGCAAGGTTCGTAGCAACTAAGGTTAGATTGTTATTCTGTGAGATTAGTCGAGGTCCATGGACACTTGTGGTTATGAAAAAGAAAGCTTGTGAACTATATTAGTGATTGTAATCCCCATATCTGCACCCATGAACTACACTTCTCCATAGTTTTAATCTTTAGTCTACTTCTTTGTACTATCTCAAGAAGCAGCTCATATTCTACATTACATGCCTAATTCTTTGTTTATATTAGAGTTCAAGAGCGGTTTCGTTTATTGTTTATTATATTGATACCATTGTTTATATGTCTTGTCAGACGCCTACACACATTTTTCTGATTATAGACTTCTGCCCTGGTGGAGAGTTATTTGCCTTTCTTGACAAGCAGCCCATGAAAATGTTTAAAGAGGAAGTTGCAAGGTACCCTTAAGCAATATCCTAAAGAAGTACTTGAGAGTTTTTATTTATTTTTATTTTTATATATATATATATATATATTTTTTACCTTCCCTTCTTCTCTTCTTCTTCTTTTTCAATATCCTAAAGTACTCTTTATCCATAAAAAATTACCAAATATGATGAGGAGAAGCAACTAGAAAACGTGAATAATAGATAACTATCCAGAGTTGAGGAAGAAGTACCGTCAAACTCACGTAATGTTTAGTAAACTTTAGTAGCATATCAAAAGGTATATTCTTAAAATACTTTAACTTTTGGAAGAATCAAGAAGCTCCTAATCGATGTTTTTCACCCAAAGCACTTGAAGAAAATATTCTTAAAAGCACCACTTGATTTCATGACTTTCCCTTTTTATATATCATCTTCCTTTTTCAGCCTCTTAGCATTATGTTTCAGGTTCTATGCTGCAGAAGTTGTCATTGCTTTAGAATACCTTCACTGTTTAGGTAATTTAATCGTCGAGAATTTATCGATATCTTAGTTTCTGCTTCTATTTTTTGAAGTATATCAAATTCATACAAGTATCCTCCAGGAGTATTAGAATAGCTGAATCTACCATATCTTGAATTCGTCTAGATCTATTTAGGACATCAAATGTCACATAGATTTTGTTATAAGGTTAGGAGGTTGTCACGTCACATATCAATGGTGGTGTTATGCCATCTTTGTAAAAAGTAATTTTTTAAGGCTTGGAAGTTGAAAACTCTAACGAAATCAAGTACGAGGTTTAGAGAAGCACGTTTCTCTAATGAATTGTCATCTTCTAATACAGGAAAGTTGTATGTTTACATTCAAGGGTAGTTTTAATAACCAAGATCCCAACATGTAGGTTTGTCTTCTGCTACTGAATGCATATGTTGATTATCGATAAGTTTTTCGATCGATGATATTATTGTCAGAATGCCAATACTATGTTAACTATTGCAATCTATTATTTTCTGCTGATTGTTTCAAGTTTTGTTCATGATATGAACAGCATATCACGTTTGTGATCCTTGTTCTCAATTCCATACACGATACAGGCATTATCTACAGGGACCTAAAACCCGAAAACATTCTACTCCAGAAGGATGGACATATCGTCCTCACTGATTTTGATTTATCGTTTAAGACATCCGACGTGCAAGTACAGTACCATCTTTTGCTGATACATGTTTGTATTTCCTTTGTTTCTTTGTTAAGACATATGATGCAGGAACTTTTACGCCATTCTTGCAGAACATAGAGTCTCCACCGCCGAAAAAGACGAGATATTGGCATGGACAACCGCCCGTGTTCTTTGTCGAACCTGTTGCAAAATTGAATTCATTCGTTGGAACTGAAGAGTACATTGCTCCTGTACGATCAATCTATATAGGAAACTTTAGCTATTCCCAAAGCATTTACCTTTTCTTCTAAGTTACTGTTTGTTTATTGTAGGAGATTATAATGGGAGATGGCCACAGTAGCTCTGTTGACTGGTGGACTCTTGGTAAGAACATTGATTCATCTTTTATTCGTTTACCTAATAAGTAGATATTTACATTAACAAGTATTTGAACTGCATATAGTAGATAAGGTCTCGATTTCAAATTAAATTAAATTTTTTTGTTTAATGATTAATAAAAATTTAAGGGTCAAAGAACAAACAAAATATTAAGAGCCCTTTTGGTGGCGTTCGATAAAAGCTTTACATGGAAATCAAAATTTCAAATTAAATATTCAAAATTTTTATGTTATATTTATTTTTTTAATATTTACTGTGCATTTTACAAGTCAAGGTAATAAAATAATGCTTTTATCTCTATTTTGGAGAAAATTGAAAATAAGAACCAAGAAACTTTATTTTGTTTTCCAAAATTGTCATAAAAATGAGAAACGATAAACAAAATAATTACCAAATGCTTATGTTTCTCGAAAATTAAAAACGAGAAAATGAGAAACAAGAAACAAAAAGGCCCGCTTGATAATGTTCTCATTTCTTGTTTCTATTTCTTCATTTCTAATAAAGAAAAATAGAATTGCATGGCTCCAATATCCATGAATTCAAAGATAAAGATAATTAAACAAATGTGTAAATATATATATATTTTTATAAGAATTTATATGTATATTTTGTAACAAACTGAAAATTCGGAAACAATAAACTTGTTCCTAAAAAAATGTGAAACAAGAAACATAATTAGTTGCAAAGTGTTTAGGTTTTTTAATAAATTTTAGAAACAAGAAATAAGAAACATTAATATTACCAGATGGACTCGAAAATGCTATCAAATGGGTTCTAAACTTTGAGGAACTAAAATGAAGTATTCGTAAAGTTTAGAGATCAAGGTTTTGGTTTAAGCCCGAATATTAATTCTTTTCTTCCATGAAGCTTCTCCTTTGATGTATGGATTTTAGGTATTTTGTTGTATGAGATGCTGTACGGTCGCACTCCCTTCAAAGGAAAGAACAGGAGGAAGACATTTGCCAATATTTTATTCAAGGATTTAACCTTCCCCTTTAGCATTCAGGTAAGTAGCTACATTTTTTTACCTTTGTTATCAAAGAGATCATTTTTTTTCACTTTCTGAGATCCTGTCCAATTTCCAGCTCTTCCTTGAATTCTGTGGCAAGGCATAAATCTTGAATGAGTTCTTTTAATGCAACTGCTGGCTCATGCTTAATGTGGCAGGCAAGTTTTGCAGCAAAGCAACTGATTGATGCACTACTACAGCGAGACCCTACCCGTCGTCTAGGATCAAGTACCGGTGCAGATGAAATCAAGCGACACCCTTTTTTCCATCAAATAGATTGGCCTAAAATCCGAACCATGGTAACGTAATACTATTCTATTTCTATCAAACATTCACAGCAAGCAAGTTTCAAATTTCAGCACAGCAACAAAATCTATATTATGATGTGAGAAATCCCTTGGAAAGGCAAAGATTCAACTTAAAAAGCATTTTGTTTCTCTTTGGGTGCAGACCCCACCATCACCAGATGTAGCTCTTCAGTTAATTGAGAGAGATACAAAAGATGGAGGGCTCAGTCATTCAACAGGCAATGATATTTTCTGAAGGATCTCATTCTCAGAAAGGCAAATATTGAGTCAGGATTACAATGAAATTACCACACTTATGAGGCATGCATGTTTGCACCTTAATGGATGTGCAATCTCAGCTCCACAGAACAAAGATTCTAAAGCATGGGGTTGGGGGCCTGTTGGTTGTTCCAGTCTGGTGGCCCTGGGCTGGAAAAAAAGAAACAGGTTATCTTGACCACCTCATAGAGCAAGGAGAAATTCAGCATTGCGTTCATATATGCAGTAATAAGAGACTATTCATAAGCATTCTACCTAAATATATATGTACATCAACAATAATTCGTTGATACTCTCTTGTTGAAGAAAATATTTTTTCCCTCTTAGAACTTACTTTATTTTTTCTGGATAAAAAAAGAGCTTTCATGGAGAGAAATGAAAAAATGTACAAAGGCAAACAAAAAATCCTGACAATACTCTCCACCCCTAAAATTTCTATTATTTTTCTCAAGCCAAGTTACTAAACTCACTCGAAAAGATAATGAAACTGAGAGATGTCAAAATTCATGGGGTGATTGGGCAACACAAAGCAATAGATGAAGCATAGAAGGATCACGTGAAAGCCAGGAGTTGTGGATTACCATTTCTACAGCTTTGCAGCTGTGGTAGATCCCTGGCAAGAAATTGAGTTCGAATTCAAATCTTTCTAACCAGCTATAACCTTTATATTTGTGATTAACAAAGTATAATTCTATTAACATTAGCCAGATAGATGGAATCATTAAAAAACCAGAAAAGCAATCTGTGTAATACTACAAAAGCATTCAGCAATACGGGATTCACTTGTTGGATATAATCCGAACAAAATATAATTACAACACTTCAGAACAAATCAATTTCCCACTAAGCTGGAAACGTACACTAAAATATTCCTACTTGGTGGCCTGTGCAATTATATTACTTATTGAACTAGCTTGCTCCTTTGCAGTCTCCACCAACGAATCCTACAGTGTAATATCAATTACCATATCAGCTGAACTGAAATTATAACGAAGGTACTGCAAAGATAAAGGAGAAAGTACCTGTGCGGCTATCAATCTTGCAACTGTTTTCTTGCTTGATTCTTGGAGCTCACCAGCTATTAGAAGCTCATCCAATATATAATAGGCCTTCAATGTTAAAAAAAAAAGGAAACAATGCATCAAAATTTCATATCAAGATGGTGAGTATCCACTAGAACAAAGCAAGTATACTGGTGAGAAGCTAAACGCAAGTAGTTCAGATGCATCGGGCTGACACAAAGTACCAATGTCTGGAAGGCAAGAGCCAATGAAATGCAAATTAAAGAGAAGCTGCCCTTTAACATAAGAAAATGAATAGTACCTTGTGAAAGTTGAAAATCAAATCCAACTCACAAACCTACAAACATGTTGAAAAAATTAGTAATAATAATAAAGAAAACAAATGTTAGTTTAGACAGTCAAATAATTAGTGGGTGTGAGGCCCCAATTCTTGACTGGAGGGGACACTTTTCGAGGAATCCTTCATCAGTGGTTGTGAATGACTGATTTTTCTCAATCTTTTCGACCTGCAAAAAGAAAGAATAGCTCCTCAAACACCTTTGAACTAAAAATTATATCACTTACACTGCCAAAGTAACGATCCAAAATCTCAACATAATGATGAATAATTTCAAGGATCTCTAGTTCATTGTCCTCCTGATCAATGCACATGCAAAAGTAAAGACTAGCATATCTGCATTACATATACAATAGAATCATTAATCATCTTTAGAATGGGCAACATGGGGAAAATAGTGATTCGGATTGCAGAACACATTAATACACTATGACGTACCTTTTATAGACAGCTTTAAGTCCCCTCCACTCCACAAAATTACAAAGCTTAGGCCCCCGATTCAGAATCATTCCACTAAGCTCACGGATAACCTTTTTAAAGAATATGAGCATATCAGCATACACAAGCACATGCCATAATTTGGTAAGTCCAACAAGGGGAACTAAGACTTAGTAGCGCTAATTAAGCAATAAGCTTTATAGTTGTGACATGGAAGGCCAACAAGCTTTTGGAAATAGTCTATTTGGATTGAAGATTAAAAGAAGTAATTAAAATTAAACTATAGAATCAGGCGAATAGGTGACCTACCTTAGATCTCTCCTTCTGAGAATAAGGAGAATACCATTTTGTCAGCCTAACTTTTCCTTGTCTGCTAATAAGAAGCACGAAGTGAATCTGGAAATTTACACCAACAACATTAGTTAGAAGACCACGCCAGATTTAGATTGAGCTGTCAATTTCTTTCTGTGGGGCGCCAAAAAGTTGAAGATATAAACACTGAGCTTAAGGTTGCACCGGGATTGTGAAGAGAAAATAAAATTTGATGGTTCAGGAACAAATGGAGGGGCACAATCGAAGGAGGGAGTCAGGACGGACCACGATTACAGTCCCAGACCACTAGCAAGACTAAATTTAAATCCCAGAATTGAGGAACGAGCGCACGAATCGAAGAACAAATAGAAACAAAAGTTGTGGAATTCGGACGACAGTTGAGCAAAGATCTGAATCTCTACAAAATTAATCGATTTCAGAACGAAACAAAAATCCAGAAGTAAAAGACAAACCAATTAAACCATCCCAAAAGGAAAATCGAAGAAGAAAGAGCAAAGCAGATCCGCAAAGAGGTAGAGGTAGACTATAACGCATTGAACATAGCAATTTCAACCTAGAAACAAACCAAAATCCAGAAACGAATCAAAGAAAAAGATGTCATTTACCATTTTGCTTTGAACTTTCACGAATCAAAACTTTCCGATCCAAATCCTCCGCCAAAATTCGATCTCTCCGATCAGAGTACAGTTTCTCCTCCGTCGTTCAGCTGTAAATATATTTTGTTCAGAATTCCTACCCGCCAAAGGACTCGGGCTTGAAATGGGCCGGGTTCATCCAGGCCCATTTAATACGATTGGGCCTTTGGGCTTTATATAAAAAATTACAAGCCCAATCTCCAAAGTTTACGGATCGAATTAATCGTCTTTCCTGGAGAATCGTTGACGTTGAAATAAAATTTTCCAGTCGTTGACATTTATTTTCATCTTTAGCGTTGACCATGTTCCCAACGTACGTGAGCGCGTGGGATTAAATTATTAAGGGAAAAAAAAAGTATTTTTTCAAACCGGCCATTAGGATTTGTTATAGATCTAATTTGTTACTATTGTCTTTTGTATTTGCTATATTTTTTCAACCCGCTATTTCCGTCTTCTTGGGAGAGCAAGAACAAGTCTCCCTTTTCTTTGGAGTTTAATAAACAAAACAAAATGATGGTTTTAAAATGGTTATTTCTCACAATTACTTCCTCTGAGTAGGAGTGAAATTTGGTGCTTAAAAGGGATAGTTCGTACAAAAAGTCTAATCTGATGACCCAAAAAGACTTCCTCACCACTCTCATGGAGGTCGAGGCTTTCAACTCACTGACACAAGCCTTCACCTTTGAAGACGACATATGTGATGTCCAAAATTGGGTTTTTGGAGACAGTACTGTTATCAATAATAGGTTCTATAGTTGAGCTGATCAATAATTCTACATAAGGTCAAAAGTTAATTGGGACCTCATAATGGTGAATCATTCCAACGAGTGGGTTGAGAGAGATATCATCTTTAGATTAGACCAGAGTTTATGAATTGACAATCAGCAGTTAATTTGACAACAATTTATTTTTAACTTTTAATTTTTGAAAATGAAACTTAAGTACTAGAGGTCTCAATAATAATTCTTAAGGTATTCGAACACTATTCATAATTCTATGAGTTTAGAAGAAAAATACCAAATATGTTTTCGTTGAATTTTTTCTAAAAAGCATAAAATTATTCTATAGAACAACCTTAAACAACTTCTAATTCATAATATTATGTTTTTTCCGTATACATTTAAAATTGGAAAACTAGAAGGTAATTTTTTTTTATTTTATATAAACCTCATTTTTAATTCAAAAACTTTTGGCTGAAACTAAAAAATGCTTTTACAAGACAAAGTAAAAGTAATTGCCAATGGACAAATTTTTTTTCTGAATATAAAAAATTTAAAACCATCACCACCTCTAGTAGATTTTCTAACATCATAGTTTAAAACTAAAACAAACTATAATTGATATCCATCTCTGATCAGAAGGTCATAAGTTTGCATATCCCACTCCACTTGTTGTACTAAAAAACATCTCTCCTAATCCTCTCTCCATAATTTTTTAAAATGAGATAAAATAAAAGTACAAAAATTTAAATTATGAATAAAAATTTTATTGTTTCCTTTCATTTGTCTTAATGAAAGTTCAGATTTTCATTAAAAAAAAAGAAACAAATTAAATTTTAAGTTGAGCTATGAAACAAGAGTGAAAATAAAGCTCCGAAAAGATTTACAGTGAAGTGAAGAGGAAGGATCTGCAGAGAGGGCAGGTGAAGTGATCTCTATGGAGCCAATTTTCAATACATTCAAGATGGAAACGATGGCCACATTTATGCAACTGGCTCACAGAATCTTCTCCGACGAACTCGACCAGGCAAACCGAGCAAATCTCCTCCTCCATTTCGCCCCTGTGCTGCAGCTCTTCGAACCTGAAAACGGGGAGCTTTGCCTCGCACGGTGGCACATCCATTGTAAGCGGTTGATACGTCCTGCCCAACAGAATGCCAATCATGTTCCCGATCGCTGTCTGCAGTCGACGCAGAGGGATTAATACACAAGTGAAGAAGACAATGACAGCCATGCTCACCGGACCCCGACCGAGCGCCAAGCTTATCATCCTGCCTTCTTCTTCTTCCTCCCTGTTGCTGGTTATTATAACCAGAGAAGAACCAGAGGCCTTTATATAGTAGAAGGCTTGGCTTCTCAAAATCAGGTGGGGTTGACTTCAAGCCTTGACTTTTGGAGGAATATAACCAATTAGGGATATTTGACTTGAGAGAATATAAATATTTGTTTTTTCTTTTTTGGGAGAGATAATATAAAAATTTGAAATTGAGAAGCCTAGTTTTGTGTTGAAAATACAAACATTTATTAAAACCAATTTTAATACTGTAGCATTTTCATCCTTATTTATACCATTTAAATTCTACCCCACCAATCAAACTCTTGTGCAAAGAAACAGACTTCCAACTCTATTTACTACATTCGTAGGCCAAATATTCATACATCCCACGAGTTTTTATTTTCTAGGCTAAATCACAAAGAAAAAAAAAAGGAGCAAGAACTTTGCCTTTTACTTCAAAAATGTTCCTATTCTTTTAAAAATTTTAATACTATCATATCATTGGACCTTTCATAGAGGTTTCAAAACATCTACCAATATTTGGAACGAGAAAGTTGACATTGTATAATCTGGAAGGACGTGACAATTAACATGAAAGCTTGTTTGGATCAAATCTGAAAAGATAGAAATGTAGAAGAAACTTGGATGAGAGCATAATTGGGTAGACAATGGAGAAACAAACTTTGTTGACAAGAGAGGAAGAAGACTTTTAAGAAAAAATTGAGACATTAATTGTCAGTCGTTCCAGATTACGCCACGTCTAACTTTTCATCCAAAATATTAGCAGATATTTTTTCAATAAGTATTTTTGAAACGTTCATGAAAAGTCAAAGTAGTATTGAAACTTTTGAAAGGATAGAGATATTTTTTAAACAAAAGGGAGAAGTTCGAGGTACGCTTTATAATTTATCATTTTTTCCATACATATATATTAATCAATGACCATGGTTCCGGCAGGAAAGGAGGGCCGGCACCGACCCCACATTACACTCAATACTTCATAAGTTAGTCAATGCCTTAAAAGTATCTAAACTAAATAAAACATCACATGATACCCAACAACCCAATCATATTCAATAACCCAATCATATTCAATCCATATCTCAACACCACATTTTCATTTTCTTCACTTATAATAACAATAAGAAAACAAACAGCATCCACCTCCCTTCCCAGGTTTTGACTAAATAAACTTGGACTTCAACATAATATAATACCGACAATCACCTATGCTCTTCTAGGGAAAATACGTACATATATGATGAGTTGTGCTTAGCTTAAAAAATAAAATGTTACCTTGTAACATGGGCTTTCTTCCTCATTCTCCTCCCCAGAGTCGGGAGCAGATGGTGTATCTGCTCCATATTCGTCATTCTTCTCACCTAAATTAAATAAACACTAAATTATAAAAAATAACTTTGAAGTTTGCCATTTGTTTAAAAGATACCTCTATTCTTTTAAAAGTTTCAATACTACCCTTGACCTTTCATAAATGTTTCAAAAATACCCTTTGAGCAAACATCCGTTAGTATTTTCAACTATTTTGAACAGAAAGTCAATGTGGCAGAATCTGGAACGACGTGACAATTAGCGTGGAAGTTTGTCTAGATTGTCTATCCAATTTTCTCTAAAAATCTTCTTCCTCTATTGTCCACATCTTTAAATATGATAGTTTCTTGAGCAATTCCTCTCTTTTCACACTTAATCCAGGAAAGCCTTCTATGTTAATTGTCACTCGATTCAAATGCTGCCACGTCAACTTGCGGATATTTTCTCAAAGGGTATTTTTGAAACGTTTATGAAAGGTCAAAAGACAATATTGAAACTTTTGAAATGATAGAGGTATTTTTTAAACAAAGGGCAAAGTTAAAGGCTATTTTTTTGTAATTTAGCCTTAAATAAATATATCAAATATATCAGGGAGTAGGAGTACAGCCATGAACAGAACTCACCGTAGAGAATCAGCAATTGGAGAAGAGGGCACTTCCACTCTTGCTTTTAGACATATAGGCAGCTCTATACATAGTAAAATAAGGGAAGCTAATCCTGATAACAAATCCATCTCTGTATAGCAATTAATGGCAGAAAGCAAGGAAGTATTCAAATTTCATAGCTAACAATAATTGTTTGAAACAAATTTCTAAAAGGCAAATGGTATATTACACATTTTTTGATGTTCAATCTTGCAACAGATGTCCATCAGTCTTCAAGCTAGGGTAGGATTCAATTGACTTGATTGCACAAGTATTATGTTCCCCAAACTTACCCTACTTTTAAAGTTTTCAATAATTGTAGATAGTTCACTCTTCAGTCTTCAACTTCAATCAGATTCTTGTTCTTCAACACAATCCTTATATTCTGGCTACTGAGTTTCAATGATCTCAACTTGTGGTTTCTTCTCAGTGATATGATTGGTATCTTCACCCACATAACCATGCAGATGAGCATGAACACTTGGGAGCTGCATATCCTTTGCCACAATTAACAGAATACGCATTAGGCAACCCTTTTAAATGACAGCTCTTATTTGATCCATCATAATAATAACCAAATAATGTGAACATAATATTGTGTACGAACTTCCTCTCATCAGTTCCCAAAATGAAATGACATACTTCACATGAAAGAAAAAACCTTGATCTGTGTTCCCTCATTGAACATCATAAGCCGAAATCTACCCAATAAATTATTCTTCTAGACTTTGAAACGTATTTAATGATGTAGTGAGAAAAGCACAAATAATTCTTAGTTTGACATGCCATCATGTCATGTTGTAAAAAACCCACCATGAATATGCTGATGCAGACAATGAAATTTTTAGTATCATTCGAAGGCAATTTGAACCTCTTCACTCAGGTGAACTCTTAACTGAATTTTTTCCATGTAAACCTTTGGACTTGCTGGCTGATGATGATAAGAAGAAGGAGAAGAAAAGAGGAAGAGAGGGAAGTAGAACAGCAACACTAAGTAAGATTTTCACTTGAGTTTTTATATTCTTATCCTTAGTTGCATGCTGAAGGTCTGCATTGTGTTGAGCGTTTTTAGAAGCTGCTAACGTGTGTGCACCTGCTTTATAAACTTGTGCAGTAAGCTTGAGGTGGAACGAAGGAAATAAAAATTTGTTTAGTGACATAACCATCCTATAATGCTAAATTAAAATAGATTTTTTTTTATCAATTTTAACAGAATAAGATAAATTCTGATTAAGCGACATACTATAAGTTCTAACGAGATTAAGATAACACACGGGCTGTTCTTTTTTTTTTTTCCTTGTTCCTTACCTTATCATTTATGTACCCAACAATTCCTACAATTTGTGCAAGCTTGTAGATGCAATCAAAATATTGAAGAGGGTTTCCAGGGTAACATGTCCATTTACTCCAATTACTCCATATATTATGAAAAAATATCTTTAAGTAGCGAAGGAATTACATTAAAGGGAAAAGAAAGAAGACTTACAACTTTTAATGACCACGACAATAATCTCAGAAAAATTCTTTCGTTTTTTTCCCAAAGATTGCTTCCCAGATATTTGGTGAAAAGGGGGCTCTTTTGTTCAGAAATTCTCTTAAAGCTTTCTCATTCAGCAAGAACCCTTTTTGTTTTAAGGTTTCTATGACACTCCGAGCTTCTTCCGTTCCCCTTTCTTTGCATAACTCGTCAACTAGGCCAACAAGAGTGGTTACATTTGGAGAATGCCCAGATTCTAACATCTCAATGCAAAATCCTATGGCTTCCTCTAATTTATTGCATTTGTACAGTCCCTGTATCAAGACGCCAAAACTGAAAGCATTAGGAGAAATGCCATTTTTCTGCATTTTTCTGAAAATCCTGATGGCTTCATCAAGCTTCTCGGCCTTGCAAAACCCATCAACTACAGCGGTGTAAATCACAACTTCTGGAATTGTACCCTTCTCACGAATCAAACCAAAGAGTTTCATTGCTTCTTGGATAAGCCCATCTTTGCACAGCCCATCAAGCATGGCGACAGCATTAGGAATGAGACCCGTCTCCTTCATTTTCTTGAATATCTCATCGGCTTCAGGAGGACGCTGCGGTTGCGACTGCTTCTCCTGGACAGATTCAGAAAACCGAGGAGCAGAGCTCTGCTCGGTCTTCTCTTTGCTACTACTCTGATTATCAGTATTCAGCTTGAACTTTTCAAGAAAGCTAAAATCCTTCTGAGACAGAAACTCACTCCTTTGCCGCGAAATGCCGCCTTCATTATCAAATCGAAACGAGGAACCTTCCGAACGTTTATTAATCCGTCGGTTCCGATCATCCCCAGGGTAAGAAGCAGATACTCCATCGGAGAATTTAGGAACTCGACGAGGTTCGCGGGAATCCGGAGGAGAACGCCGGTGCGGCGGGTTGCTCCTCGGCTCGGAATTTGAGATGGCCCAATCGTCGTCCATGGAATTGGAGCTGAAACAGCGAGATTGCGTCGGCAAGAGCGAGAAATCCTGCGTTCGCAGTGAATCGTGGAGCAGAGGAAGCTGCCTTTCGCACTTCCAAATTGATGAAGACACAATCTTCGACATTCGAAGGCGAGATTGCAATTGCAACTGCAACGCCGCCATGGGAATCTCGAGCCAAGAAATCAACGAACAGAGATTGGTAGCAGTCGGAAAATGATCGATAACGATGGAGGTTGATAACAGTGTAGGGTTTTAGCAAGGGGACTGTGAAAAGTTCCAGCAAGGGGACTGTGAAAAGTTCCAGCAAGGGACCAAAAAAAAAAGTTAATAATCGTAAAATAAATGTTAAATTAATTATAAGTTTGGTTGAATAAATCTTTTCTTTTTTTTTTTTAACTAATTTCCTAAATTTTTAATGAAAATTTTAATAAGAATATTTAATTAGTATCTAAATTTTAAAAATATCTAAAACTTTTAATTTTGGACGTCTCACTAAGTTTTAAAAAATAATTGATTAGAGATTTATTAGACATCTATTTTGAGGGATGAAGAAGGCTAGGTTAACTAAAAAAAATTAAAAAGTTGACATTATGTATTATTTTTAAGAAGAAACCTATAAGTTTCAAAAACATCAAACAATTTTTTTTTAAGAAACACCCAGACAATTGAACAAACGTTAAAACTTTATGAAATAAACTTCTAATTTAACTTAAACTAAAAAGTCAAATTGAATATAAGCGAATCAATTAAAACAGATATTCTCGACCAATAAATAAATATATATGTATATATATATAGAAAAATGACAAAATTTGACCATAAACCTCAGGCTGCGACAAAGTGTACCATAAACTTATCACTATTGTTGCAATTTTATTAAAATGTTTGTCTTAGAATTGAAAAAATAATTGAATTTCATATTTCTTTCTTTTAGTAAAACATGTTGGGGACGAGATTCAAACTCACAACTTCTTAGGTATATGTCAATTACTGTTGAATTATATACTTGTTTTGACAATTGAATTTCATTAGAAAAAACGTTAAAAAATAATTCGATAGAATCGTAGAAATGAAAAATTACACATATTAGATATATGTAAGATTTAAAGCTAGATAAAACAAATTCTATTTAATTCTAAATAATTTAACTACGAGTAAATCCAACCCCTCTTTCAATGCAAAGGATATTTTTCTAACCTTTGCTTCTGATTCAATCAAGCATGACATGAAATTGATAGAATTTGGGATTGATTTTTTCTCATTAAAATGTGTGAATTTTAGTGAAATTATTCAATTGTCAATAAAACACTTTTTCCTTCAATAAACTTTGAAGAATTTTTTATAAAAAAAAAAAAAAAACTTTGAAGAAATTTTTTTCGTCCAAAAAAAGAAAGAGAAAAAAAACTTGATGAAATTTTATGAATTAAACGGCGGCAAGAGAATTCTTCATTTGGTTCAGTCTCTCAAAGTCTCAACTTATCCATTCCGTACAAATAGCCAAAGCTGCTTCGTCTTCTTGCCGAATCTCAGCTCTCATGCTTCTTGCTAAATGATTCTCGTCTAGGACCCAGAATTCCTGCTTCTGTAACTGAAATTTTCTCAAATTTCCCACACAATTGGAGTTTTGATCGAGCGCAGAAGTTCATAGCATCTGATGGAAGAAGGTGAAGTGAACCCTGTTTCTACTGTATTAATCAACGCCATTCTGCATTGCATTTCACACTCTAGGGCCAAGGTTTTCGAGTTCAGAGTTTAATTTCAAATTCATCTCATAATTTTGCATTATTCGTTTGTACTGGTGACGATCTTTTCTGCAACCACTTCGTTGGGTTATGAAAAATCTGTTCGTATGCTGTATCTTTCAGGGTTTATGGAAACTAGCGCCAGTCGAAATGGTACGAATATGCTGTGGTTCTTCAGGGATAAAGGGTTTGATGACAGAAGCATCGATAAGATGTTTAAAAAGTGCAGGCGTTTAGAAGCTGTGCACAAAGAAAGAGCTTCTGAAAACTGGGAATATTTGGAAAGAATCGGGATTCAAAAGAGGAAGCTCCCTTTTGTTGTTTCTAAGTGCCCTAAGATTCTAGCTCTTGGACTCCACGAGAAACTTGTCCCCATGGTTGAGTGCCTTGGGACACTCAGCACCAAGCCTCATGAAATTGCTTCAGCTATTGCCAAATTTCCTGGCATACTCTCCTATAGCGTTGAAGAGAAGCTTTGTCCGCTTTTGGCTTTCTTTCAAGCATTGGGGGTCCCTGAAAAGCAGCTTGGAAAAATGATTCTACTCAACCCTAGGCTTATTAGCTACAGCATTGAATCGAAGCTCATCGAAACTGTTGATTTTCTTGCTGGGCTTGGCCTTACGAAGGAGGGGATGCTTGGAAAAGTTATAGCAAAAAATCCATTTCTCATGGGTTATAGCATTGATAAAAGGCTCCGCCCTACATCGGAGTTTCTGAAATCAATTGGCCTAAAGGAGATGGATCTTCAGGCAGTTGCATTGAAATTTCCAGACATTTTGTGTAGGGATGTGGACAAAGTTTTGAGACCCAATTTGGTTTATCTAAGGAGATGTGGGTTTAAAGATGGAGAAGTAGTGTCTTTGGTGACTGGTTATCCTCCTATTCTGATCAAGAGCATTAAACATTCATTAGAACCTCGGATCAGATTTTTAGTCGAAATTATGGGAAGAAAACTTGAAGAAGTTGCCAAATATCCCGACTTCTTTAAGCATGGTTTTAAGAAAAGGCTCGAGTTGCGGCAGAAATTGTTGATAGAGAAGAAAGTGGACTTTACCTTGAGTGAATTGCTGGAATGCAATCAAAAGAAGTTTATGATGAAAATGGGTTTATTATGAGGCTATTCCTGGAGTTTTAGGTTCTCATATCCTGAAAGAATGTTGTTCTCTCACCAACTTTACAAGTTTTGTTGCCTAATTATTCATTTTCCAAACTTCTAGTTAAAGTGAAGAGCATTCATCCTGCTGGGCTATAGTCTTTAGGCCTGGATTATTCTTCTCCTTAATTCATGCTTCATGCTTTAAGCTTTTAATGGTGTTCCTTAATTTTTAACAATTCGAGTGGAGTGGAGTACAGAGTACCCTTTGTAACTCCTTTCTCTATTTTGTAAAGGTAGGGATTTGGACCCCTGATCCTCTCTTGTATTTTTGGTATTACTCTTATTCTTCGATCCATTATTCTTAACAGTTACAATGGAATTCTTTGGGTTTTGCTTCGGAGGGAGCATCTATTTCAAATTCAAAAGATGTTGATAACTTGAATACTTGGATGAAAGTCATCTCTCCTGTGACTACCTTAAACTCCTACATTAAGGTGTTTACTTGGATTTATAAGTATGACTCTTGTTTCCTATGTGCAGTTTATTTGATATTTACTTCTCTCTATAATTTACACCTCTTAGACAAGAAATTCCTTGAACCTGAGCCTGAGATTGTACTCTACGCCCAAGGATATGGCACTATTCATGATGTTGCTTCATTATTTTCAAGACCTGCTGATCTCATTGTGATATTAGATCATCTTTTACGATATTATATCACGTCATTCCTAATTCCAACTCTTACATATTCTTTTGAGGTCTTTTGTTGTTTCAAGATTGAACATTATTCTCTGTCTCTCACAAAAAGAAAAAAAAAATTGATTGAACATTATTGAAACAGATGTGCAAGTATTGGGAGTAGATAGAAGATTATAATAACTTAACACTTGGGACTTGAATTTTGGTATAATCTGCAATTTAGGAAGTTGTTAAACGGTCTTCGATTTGTATAGAAAACATGTCAAATGCTGTATATGTAAAGCAAAATGATGGTACATTCAGTAGTCTGTCTAGCAACAGGGAGAATAGGGTGATTAGATGATGACACTATGTAGTCAAAGAAGGAAAAAAGGTGTAGTCTCATACATTCAAGTGCTCGTGCGTTGTGCAGAAGCAACCTGATGAATTCTGCTGAAATCTACAGCCACTGGTTACTTGGGACGTTGGGAGTTTTAGCCCCGGGTATGCATCTCTACCTTGCATATGTCAGAATGAAAAGAAACAATAAACAAATGAAATGCAACATGATTTTCAGGTAAGTTGCAGAGACTGAAGCATGGGATCAGCTGTGGTGAAGCTTCATGGTAGAGAGTTATTCGTGGTCGAGAGTGAAGCGAGGGTGGAACTGGTGGAAGTAGTACTCATAGGAGGCCACATGAAGACTGGCTTGAATGGAGGTACATGAGGTGCAGGCAAAGCTCCATTTAAAATTTGGAGTATAGCCTGAGTTTGTGGCCGTTCACTTGCCACGGGATTTGAACATGCCAACCCAAGTAGTAGAAGCCTCCTAGCTTCATCAACTACAACATCGTTATCCAGCCGCTTATCGACAGCTTTTTCAATGTGTCCTTCGCGGTGCATCTTCCACACCCAATCAATTAGGGTGTACTGATTTTGCTCGTCTTCGACACTTGCGCCTGGTCTCCTGCCACAAACAATCTCAAGCACCACCGCCCCGAAACCATATACGTCAGATTCAGGAGTAGCCCTCCCTTCATGGAAGCATTCAGGAGCAACATAACCCATTGTGCCTGGAACTCCACCAAACTGCAGGTCTGCATAAGAGTTTCTTTCATGATCCAAGGCTCTAGCAAGGCCAAAGTCTCCTAGACGAGCATTGAAGTCGGAATCTAGCAAGATATTGCTTGATTTTATGTCTCGGTGCAGTACCTTTTGGTCATACTCATTATGCAGGTAATGCAATGCAGATGCAACTCCTACAAGGACTTTGTAGCGGTGTCTCCAGTTGAGAACATTCTGGTCAGCAACGTCATATAGGTGATTCTCGAGGCTTCCATTAGGCATGAAATCATATACTAATAATAGCTTCCCTTTCTCGTAGCACCACCCTGAACAAAAATTACAATGGTTGTTTTAGTACACTGGTCTGAGATCATATTCTATATATGCTCCTATTAACGACACAAATATTTTGCTCTGTCACTCTCTTTGAGCTAGAATTTTAGTGAAACTTCTCAATTACTACAATATGTTTATGATATCTACCAGCCATGGTAGAATTATCTTTTCCTCAGTAAACTATATATTTTGTCGGGAACGTCTTCTCTTTCTCCTTGTTTGTTTGGAAGAACAGAGAATGGAAGTTTTACCTTCTAAACGGACGAGGTGCCTGTGGCGAAGACGGTGAATGATGGTGAGCTCGTCCAGAAAATCGCCTTTGCTCTTGATGCTGTCCCTGGAGAATTTCTTGACGGCGACTTCGAGCCTGCCAATGGAAGTTGAAGATGCAGTCTTCTCCCTATCCTTTTCCTGCAGAACCCCTTTGTAAACAACCCCAAATCCTCCATTTCCCAGAACCATGCTTTCATGGAAGTTATGAGTTGCCCTCTTTAGTTCCTTGTACTTGAATTCTCTGGGCATTCCAGGCAACCTCTTCAGTGTACCCTGAACATTCGATTCTGCATCCCTTCTCGCTTTCCTCTTCCTCATATAACCAACATATAACCAAACCCCAACCAGAATTGCGATCGTAAGTACCGGGATTCCAACCCCAGCTACGATCTTCAACCACGTAAAATCTTTTTTCTCCGGAAGATGTTCTAATTGAAGCGTCCATTCCAAGACACAGTTCAGCTGAATTTCTGGGCTGCCTGTAGAAGCAGCAAATCCAAGGTATGATTCTTGTTTTACATACTGTTTCAGGTTAATCGTTTCATTGAGGAGAGGTTTATCAGGTTTTGGGTCTTTGTCTTTAGACATGTAAACCTGCAGAAGTTTTTCTTTGCCGTTGTATTCGACCCAGACACTGTGATTGGTTCCATTCTGTGGGGATAAAACTATGCCAGATGTATTCAGGGGAACAGTCTTCTTTGAGAGAATGGAGTTGATGTTCAGACCGATATGGTTGTCGTCGGGGTCAAAGTCCTGCTTCTCGGTATCGAATTCGATGGCCACAAATTGGTTTCCGCTATCACCATCGGTGGTTGCATTGGTGAGGCCCATCCACTGCCCCCAGCTCTGATCAGGTATCTGATCAGCAGTCGGAGCTATAAGAAAAGCAAGCCCCTCCCCGGCATTCCAATTTTCTTTTCTGAAAATATTGATGTAGAAGTATGAATTGAATGAAGCAACAATGTCATCTTCCTCCTTCCTATCGATATCTTCGAGCCATAACCTAAATGGCTGGTAGTACATAATACGGCCTGATGCATTTAGAAGCTTAACATCATCATTGAGCGAGTCAGGAGTTAACTGCAGGGCACCCCCGTCGATCGAAGAACTTCCGGTGAACGAGAATTGGTTGTACAGGCTTTCATTGAATCTAACATAGGAAAAACGTGGCTCAAGGATTGTTTGGCTGCCCACAGCTCCAAAGAGCAACACCACAGAAGCAACAACAACAACCAAGGTACTCAAATCTCTCCACAGATTCATTTTCCTTGTCAAATTATTATACAACTAACCCAGAAACCTCCCAAGGAAGAAGAAAAACAGATCAAAATGAACAGAAAGAGCAGAAGATGCACAGATGAAGTTTGAATCCCGAATCCGGATCCAGGTTTTTTCCTTTGTGAACTGATCAGAGAAAAGCTAGAGGTAACAAAAAGCCCCTTTTACTTTAATTCAAAGCTTTCCTCCATGATTATCGCCTTGATACCAAATGAAAAGCACCCCATTGGTGATCTGTAATTCTTGGACGCATTAGTTTAATCTGCAAGAAACCGAGTTTTGAAAAGCTTGGACAGGGTCCAAGGTCAAAACTGAGAGAGGAAGAAGAGGAAGAATAAGGGTCAAAGTTTTCATGCTGAAAATGGAGGAGAAGCCATTGATAAGATCTCCATTTTGACGAACACTGAGCAGCTTCCTAGAGGTAACAGTGTACATATTCCCCACGTTTAGAATATAAAAAGTCTAACAAGTTGAATTGGGCTGCGGAATCTTTCCAACTTTAAAATAATATTGTATATATCCACTTGCTTAGGCCCCCTTTTTTTTTCCTTTTTTTTTTTAAATTTATTATTTAATAATTTTTGTACAGGTTGGTGGTCGAATGGAATTTGAACAAATTGTTTATTTAGATGGGGTTTCAGATTATGTGATCATATTTTGTTCAAAATATTTAGATTTCATATATTATTTTAGCTTTTGATTTGGTCTATTATCTTTAATGAAATATGGCATTTTTTTGTTTTTTTTTCTTGAGAATGTCATGAAATATAGGATCTTGGTCCTTGTTGTTAATTTCTTTAAATAAGAATGAGATGAATTGATATAAATAATTGAAGTGTCATTGTTTAGCATTGATAAATACAATGGTCCAAATTTCAAACTATATTTTGATATTCGTTGTTTCAATATATTTGATTTGACAGTTTATTCGTTGTTTACAATGTTTTGTTAGGGCCAACATGAGCTTAGCCCGCGGTTAAGTGGCTAAGCGCCTAACTATTTTTCTCGAGGTCGGAAGTTCCATCCCTCATCCCCACAATTGCTGTACTAAAATAAAAATGTTATGTTATGAATCATCTAGATTCCAATCCGATTGTTATTATTATTAATCCGATAGTTATTAATAGCATATATTCAGCATTTTGATCATAACTATTAAATTTTTGTATCTTTATGTAATAGAAATATTAGGCAACCTTTTTTGTCTTTATAAGAACAAAAATAGTTTTTTTTTTATAGTCCAACCATTAATATATAGAACATTAAAAAGTACAATATCCTAATAAAGTAAGAATTCAAAAAACAAAAGCAAGGGTAAAAAAAGGTTAAAAGAAAAAGTTTTCAACCCAATAGAATTATAGTCTTCCTTTTTAAGTTATAAAGGGAAAAAAAGTAAACAAAAACATAACATAGATTATATTATCAATTGTGAAATTGTGGACTTTATTACTTGAATATATCAAAGTCATTTTCATGGATGGTGACAAAATGGGAAGTTTGATATTTCAAAGAACATTTCTAGGAATTGGTTTCTTATTATTTTGGTGGAAAGGATAGAAATATTGTAGTTATAAAAAAAAATTTGTAAAAATATAATAATTTTGAAACTATTAATAATGAAAATGATAATTTTGAAGCCTTTGTAAAAATTGGTAGTAGTTTCTTTTCATGTGTGAAACCGTGGTTTTATTTAATTAATCTCGATGTGTTCTACAATGATATTTATATCTATATATAGTTTAATTGTAAGGTTCTAGCCAATTTATTTTCAACGAAAAGTTCAAATTTGAGTTTTTATACCACGAGTTGGGAAGAAAAAAGAGAAGATTCTCACTCATAAACAACTTATATTGTCCGTTAGTGAAAACTAATTTTTTTATAAATATTAATAAAATAAAATCTTTTTTTTAGTACATTAAAAGTAGTATAATAGATTGGAGAGGAGACTCGAACTCACAGCCTCTTAGTTGGAGGTATATGCCAATTATTGTTTTTGGCGAAAATCTTCTTACTTTGTGATTGTGTAAGGATACAAATATTTTTCATTAAAGTCTTTAGTTGATAATAAATTTTTTTATTATAGTTTTTTTGCTTTCAAAAAATAGGAATGCTCCGTAAATTTTTGTTTCATTCCCCTTTTTGCTTTGAAGGATGTTTTTGAAATTTTATTCACAGTTAAAATATTAGTTTTGTCATATACTTTCACTTTTGCTTCATTTTGGTCTTCTACTTTTAAAATGTTCATTTTGGTTCATGTATTTTCAAAATATTGTTTTAGTCCTAAAGTAATTATTTTGGTCCCTTAATTTCATTTTTAATCTATTTTTTTATCACAATTTTAACATGACACTTCATTCAATCTATTTATTGAAATATAACCACGACTTTATATTAAAAAGTTCTCATTATGGGTATAATTTATGTTAAAGTTTTGAAAATAGGGATCAAAATGACCCCTTTTTAAAAGTACAGGGACCAAAACAAATAAACCAAAGTTTGCGCGACTCGGACAGTACCATAAATGCCAACGTTATCCAAAGTCTCCCGATGAAACGAGAGATATAGAATCTGCTTCGTCCATTCTGGGAGGCCGACGATATAAGACGGAGATCTCCTAGTGCGGAAGTGCCCGTCCCATTGAACTTGCCCGCTCCTAATTCGGCTTCAGAGAGTGGGGAACCCAGTCCTATCCCAATGTCGTTGCTCGAGGTTGACGCAAGTCAACTTTGTCGTAATTGGTGGATTCATATGTCTTCGTCTTTTTTGCTTTCTTCCCTTTGTTTATTTGTGAAAGCTAGGCTTCCTGGTGGTATGAAAGAAAGATTCACACMAGAAAAGTGATCACAACAATCTCCTATAGGGACCAAAATTAACGTTTTCAAAGTATAGAGACACAAATAAACTAAAGTTGAAAGTAGATGGATCAAACTTGACTATAAACTTAAAACGAACAGATGATATATGTACTTGAATTAAAAATTTATGGGATATCACGAAAGATTTATATTAAATGTAATACAAAAGTTTAGCGACAATCATAAAAATAGATTTCTATGCAATATTTATGAGCTAAACCAAAAAAATTCAAAATATAAATACTAAAATAAAATGGATATAAAAATATATGAAAGAAAACAATTTTTAAATTTTTTTAGGAAAAGAATCTTTTGGGACCAACCAATACATTGCTTAAAGTTGAAGCATGAATGATTAATAGAGCTTCTTTATGATTTTAATTTTCTTTTACTTTTGGCTTTTTGCTCACTTAGCCAACTCAAAAGTGTAAAGTTTATAATTAATAATACAACTATAAATAATCTAAGTAATATAGAAAATAAAGTTATAAAAAGAAAAAAAAGGAAGGAAACTTTTGATTACTTTAAATTCTTCTTCATGTTACTTTATTATTTAATTTGTACTTTAGACTTGATTTTGTAATACTCTCCCTTTTTCTCTTCTATTTTTTTTAATTATAATTTTACATCTTATTTTATAAGATCATAAGAAAATTGTTATTTATTTCCACATTTGGTTCATAATTTTATATTAAATATCCTAAGTTGTAAATTACCTAATAATATTAAACAATTTTATATCTCTTAACTAAAAGGAATTTGCTTTGAAATAATTGAGATGAAGAAACACAAAGGGTAGCCAAAAAGAGAGAAAAAAAGAAGGAAAAAAGCAACATTTATAAGATGCATTTACTTTAATTTTTCCCAAAAATAAAAGAAAAAGAACAATTTAAGAAAATTAATCGAACATAAATTGATTAAAAGAACATAAATTGATTAAAAAGAAGCATTTGAGAAGAGGAAATTGAGAATATGAAAATATTAGAATTTAATGTAGAAACCAAGAAAAAAAAAGAAAAGAAAAAAACTCCTTATATGTGCTAAATTATACCAAATGTTTTGATTTCAATTTGCTCTTAAAATCTTAAAAATTTCCATTTTATTATAAACTTCTAATTTGTTTTAAAGATATTATTCATTCAATTCCAATTAAAATGTTTAACAAAAGTTTGAAGATTGAAGAGAGAATTAAAATTTTTAAATATTTTGGAAGAAAAATTTAAAATTATTGGAGAGCAAAATAGGACCTACATATGGAGCATGAGAAAAGATCATCTCGGTGACCTTTCCTTTAAATAGTTCGGTTAAATCATTAATGGTCTTGAAAAGGTTAGAAGCTGAGGTTTCCTTCACAACAGTCTGTAGCTGTGTAACTAACTTTTGGAACAGACAGTCTAATATCGACTATGTGGGATCCACCAACATACTTCTATAAATAGGGATTCATTTATGTGCCAATGTATACTTACCTCGTTATTCTATCTGGAGAGCATCTATCAAATTCTTACTAACTTGAGTATCCGAGGATCTACTCTTTATTTGTAGATATTTCCTTACCTAGCACGTTCCGAATCGGCCTAGTGTCTATCTCACACGTGCACCAGGTATGAACAAAATTCAACATTTATATTTTGTGCATGTGATTATGAAGTGTAGTGTTAATTTCTTTCCATTTTTTTATCTGTAAAACTTCAGACATGTTGGGAGACATTAAGTATCTTGAAGGATTTTATTTTCTTATACCTAAGATCTAAAATTAAAAAAAAAAACAAATAAATGTATGTAGTTGTTAAAGCCATATAATAAAATTTATGTTTAAATATTATATTGGTCCCTATTTTCGACTTTTGTTTTACTTTTACCTTTTATTCATTTTAATTATTATATTTTTAAAATATCTATTTTGATTTATATACTTTGTGATCATTTTGGTTTCTAAAAATGAAAATGAATGAATCAAAATAGTTTATTTTAAAGTAAAGAAACTAAAATAGACGTTTTGAAATAATAAAGGTTAAAATAGACAAAAATTAAAAATATAAAAATAGTAATTAAACTTCTTTTAGTACAGTAATTAAACTTAAACCTTAAAAGAAAACAAATAATAGTAATTAAACTTTTTTTAGTACAGTAATTAAACTTAAACCTTAAAAGATAACAAACATATACGTAATATATTTTTGTTTAGAAAATCCATCTAATCCACCACAACACGACAAACTAAATAAATCAGCGCAGCTCATGATATTTACGCTAACGCCACCCGTCCACGTCTTTAAAATGTATTTGCAGATATATAAATAACCTAAAATAAAATATTTATTACTATTTTAAAGATAGATGATTTGGTTTTTCAACTTTTATAATTATTGAAATAAAAAAACAAATAAATACAGTTCGTTTTTTTTTTTTTTAAACATCATGTAACTCAAACTCAAATGCAATATAAAATACACAAGTAAAAATCTCATTCATGCTATATTTAAAAAAAATAATAAAAAGTTGTTTTTGCATATTGAATTTATGCTACCTAGTGTAATGTTCAAATTCTTTTACAATTTCAAAATTGGATCTTTCATTGGTTTCGAAAAATATTGCAACTCTTGAAATTTCATCTCTTATTTGAATTAAGTGCTCTTCGAACTATGCGAGAAGGTTCTTTTCACATATTTATCACTTGATCTTTTGTAGGAACGATATGTTTGAATGGGTCTAACATTTTTCTTCGTTACTTCTTACTTTGGATATAGATTTTTGTGGCTTTGATAGTAAGATGACTTATTCAATAATTTACGTATCAGGGCTTACCTTGATGCAATTATCCTTTGATAAATGGAATCTATAATCCATATCTACGACCTTCTTGGAGATAAAGTCAAGGATTTGAGTTTCAACTTTTCTCACGATGTGCAAGAGAGCTAACTTTTTCTAGCTTGCGAAAAAGAAGATATGTCTTGTCTTGCCCCCGTTGATTAAGGGATAGACAACGTTGGTTGACAACCAATTAATCRACAAGCGAATAGCAACTCCAAGTTTGTAATCCGATATCACTTTAAGTAACGTAAATAACTAATTTCTTGTTACACTGCATGTTGCCTACGAGATGCGAGTTGATCGTTCTAAACAGTTGCTCGTGACTAGTAAATCCTTGGAGCCGAAGCTAACTTGTCTACACTACCCATCACCTTGAGATTTGTAAACTCTTCTTTGCCAAGTTAAAAGTACAAGTTTGCCAAATCTTGTGTTCATTGCCTATAGCCTCATGTGACTCCCAATCTTCCAAAATTTTGAATAAAATCTCAAGTTCATCAACTACACCAAGCAGAAAAAACACCCTCTTCTTAATGACTTTGTATAATCTAATTAGCCAAAAGAGGAGAAAAGAACTTTTCAGCTGAAACATATCAAACACTTTCATCAAACAAGCCACAACTCTTGTTAGTGACATTCTTATTACAATACACAGACAAGCAACAACAATGATTGCTTGTTTTGTTTTGTTTTTCTACCTCCTTTCTACTTGGGTAGGAGGCTACCAACAACTGTAGCTATAATCGCTGTCGGGTCGCCGAGCATAGCGGAGACGATACACCGAACAGCACGCCCGGCCATCTGAAAGCCCTGCTCAACCTTCCCTCTTCCCCTGTTATGGCTCTGCAGTGTCCCCTTGAGACTTGGAATCCTTGTCTGAGCCTCATTGACCTTGTTCTTGTCCACATTTAGGTACATGGCTTGCCAGCTCTCTACCAGCAGCTCCTTCACACATGACAAGTGAAGGTTATAAGTCCTGCATTGAGACTTATAGGACCACCCCGGTCCCCTACCTCCGCACCGGTGGCACGGCCCGGAGAGCTTCATACTAAGGTAGAGGTTGCGCTCGCCGTCATCAAGCACTTGGGGAAGGTTCCCGCAACACGGGTGGAGATCGAAACCGCAACCTCTACAATGGTAAACGAACCCTGAGACGTCGTTTCGGCAGGCGTCGCAGAACCTCGCGGCCGCACTAGGCGGGGAAATGAAGAACTCGAAAGCGCATTTTGGGTAGAAAGGGTGAGTGATCCTTGGAGATGCCATGGCACAGAGCTTGTGCAAAGTGAAATCACATTTTAGGCATTGGTAGTTGAAGCCAATCCCAGCTTCATTGCATCCACCACAGTTAAAAGGGATATCACTGTGGTTGAGCTTCAGCCTGTGCCATGGATGGATTGGGTGAGAGATCTCTTTTTCAATCTTCATCTCTTTTTGATCTGTTTGAAAATGGGGAAGAACAAGAAGAATTATAGATTTATAAAGGGCTGAATGGAAGGTAGAAGCTCAGTTTAATTTGTTTTTGAATACCAAAAAGAATGGTTTTTTTCTTTGCACTGATCTTCACAAGTAGATACTTTGCTTAGAATTTACAAGTAGATGAAATTAAGAAGATAAAATTGGTTAGAATCTGATTCCATGGAAGAATGTGTTGGTTTACTTCATTACTTTGAAATGATGATACTGATTACTCCTAAAACTGTAACTTTTGACCAAATGATTTTGGTTAATTAAAGTTGGCTAAAAATGGACTGATATGCCCTTCTGTGCTCAATCAAAGGGCAGCAGATCAGAAATTTTGGTGATCTTTTTGGTTTCTTGTGATTGTTTGTAGAGATTTGTAGTGGTTTCTTTGTGAGGAACTTTTTTTTTTCAAGTTTGTTTGGATTTTATTCTCATCTTAGAGAAAGCATAAGTTTGGCTTATCCTGTACCTGAAATGGACAAAAGGGAAAACAGAAGCTTCCTTCAGAAGAAGTTGGCTAGCTTTGGATCAAGTTCATTGTTTTGGTTGGTTCTCTGCCTTCGACTTTGGTTCATTTTGATCCATGTACTTTTAAAACGTTCATTTTAGTCTTTATATTTTAAAAAGTGACCATTTTGATCCCCTCATTTTTATTTATTTCGATAAAATTTTTAGCATAACACTTCACTCACTAAATTTCTTAAATATAGTCAATAATTTGTAATAAATATTTTTAGTCAATAATTTGTAATAAATATTTTTTATGGTGTCTACTACTTTCTCTTGTTTATTTCTTTTTCTTTTGACCATAACTGATTCCCTGAAAAAGAATCTTCCTCTCTTTCTTGTTTTCACTTTCTCTTTTGACCACAACATGGTTTTTCCTTAGAATAGATGAAGAAATTGCCTTCTTTGGAAACATTAGAATCGATAAGAACTAATAATTTGCAAGAAAAAGAATTCCATGGCTTACAATAGACTTTGTAGTATACAAAATAATCATCAAAACAAAATAATTCCTTAGTTTGATTATTTTGACCATATCATTATTGTTTAATTCACTGAATCTCACCTTACCTCACAATTTTAATAAACTTGAGACCGAAAAGCATAAGTTTGAGAATATATAGCTTAAATTCGAATAAAAAAAAAGATTATAGAAATCTAATACTAATACTATCGAGAGATTAAGCTTTATTTCAAAGATTGGATTCTCTTCCCCTACTAATAAGAAAGAGCTAAGTTTCCACATATTCCTAATCGGGCCTAAGCAGGCAGCACAACGAAGAAAATAGTCTAGCCACGCACCTATTTTTAACCGACTAAAGCTGGATGCACTACACGACTAGAATAAGAGAGATCGAGTTAATGTGGCTAACCATGTCTGATTTACAAAAATCAACACACAATATAAAATGTATCAATACCAAAAATGACATATCTGGATACAACTATAGTGTAAAACACTTTGGACTTGGGAAAATTTTGGGGAATATAAGGATGTCCCTATTTCAAGATTCAATGAAAACCAGAATTTGTCTGATGGTTTTAAGGACAGTGGCCCAGTGAAACAAGACACAGTCCACTTCTCTCCAATCAAATCAACAATCTTGTCCCTACCAAGAACTAACTCTTCTGTTTCCTTTTACTTGGCAGTTCAGTTCCCTGTTTCAATTTCAACTCATAATTGGGTCTCTAACCGAAAAAAAGAAAAAAAGAAAAAAAAAAACCCAAGAGAAGAATCCAAGTGAAATGTAAAAGAAGATCAAGGGCATGGTATAAAACTACAACTACTTTGTTTGCTACCACTAAGCAGCTGGCCAATTACATCTTCTAAACAAACTAAAAATGGTAAAAATACCACCAAATCTACAAAGAATTTCCTGTACATTCAGATGAAGGGCAGCAATTGGCATTCCTTATTTTCTAGCCAAATCATGACAGAAATAAGAGTTCTTTTTTTTTATTTTTATAATTTTCTTTTTCCTTGGTGGGGGGGGAGGGAAAAAATATACACCTCAGTATTTTTCACCTCAAAAATTGATGTGGAAAAAGATGCTGGTCTGAACATGGATTCTGATCTGAAAAGGTTAGCCATCAATAAGGTGAACATTGCCACTATCTTCAAAACCAGTTATTTTCTCCCCCTACAAGATCAAAATYAGGAATCCAAGATCAACGTTTATTTAGAAACGGAGAAAAACTTGAATGAGATAAAATTAGAATCATAACAAACTAAAGTAAGGATATGAATGAAATCGGGAAGCAACAATTACGTGTAGTTTCCGATTACACTTTGGAGACTCAAATCGGTGAACAAGAAGATTAACAAGATCTGCATGTTTCTGGCATCACTGAGAGAGTATCATACTTCTAAGAAGATCCATTGGATGGCCAGAAAAATCTTGCAATGAAAATGAAAATGTGGTCATCCATCTCCAGAGACAGTAAACCAAGAAACTATCACCTCTTAATCGTWACATACAGATGTAGGAGCACCGATTACTCGATGCGAAGCAAATTTACATTTCCAGAACTAACATACTTCTCAATGAGACCAAGGTTAAAAATACACAACATTTGGTATTCAGATGAGGCAAAGACTCACTATATATGTACTTCTGTCACACCTTCAAATGCTGTCTTTCATACTAATTTTTATGTTCTGCACTTTGATAGATAATTGCAACTTATGGTCCTCAATATCTTTCAGCACCGAAAAAAGGTTAGACCGATAAACTTCACACTTCCGATTTGTACACTCCAACTCATTGGTAAGTTCATTGATTTTCTTGTCCAAGTCATCCTGCCAGAAAATTTCAAGAGATGAACAAAAAAAGATCGTAGAATACAATCATGCATGTCCCCATTGTTCACCATGAAATTTTAAATAAAGGTCCATTATAGAAATGCATCCAGAAATTAGAAATATGAAGTAAAATAATCTGAAGGAGAGGTGAAAGGAGGAAAAACAAAAAGTTGGAAAAGAAAACCACACAGATGCATTGTTTTATGGGCACACGTGCGATCAACCTTAACAAAATTAATGAAATAATATTGGAGTTATCTGCAAGTTCATTACAGGAAGATAAATCCAAGATTAAGAGAAAACAATAACCAAACATGGTTAACATAGTCCCAAGATTTAAAAAAAGAAATCATACAGAGGACTGTGAAGTAATCTGAAACTCAAAATCTACTGAAATGCAGAGAGAGCTGGAACTTAAAAGATGCAGATTCTATCATATCAAGCTTTTATGTGTATCGTAAAATCCAACCAACAATATTGTTAAAAAAAATTGATAGGTTGCAATAAGTGTAAAAACCGAGATTGAAAAGAACGCGGTCACAAACTCCAATACTAAATTTTTAAGATTTTAAAGGGACTAGAAATTCCTCTTTTCTTCGATACTAGAAATCACTAATAACAAATTCCAATCAAATAAAAGAATAGAACCAGGAGATACAATAGAAAGCAAGCTCCTACCTCAGACATGTTTTTACCCAAGCTCCCGTCGTGATCCCTGCTACTAATATGATTTGTATAGCTTCTATCATTTACAGGGTCCACTTTAATTCGCCCATTTATTGTAGAAATTTTGCCATCATTCCGTGTTGTATGAGCAACCCTTTTTGCAGCCTCCTGAAGGGTATCCTTTGCCACAGTATATGTATCGACAGTCTTTGCTCCTTCCTCTATGAATCTAAAAACCTCATGGCGTAGGGTATTGTATCTCACAGTATGAGATTCAAGATAGTTATTATAGATGTCATTAACATGGTCCTCTAGTATCACATTACTCTTGGCATTTCTTGTCCATCKTTTCAATATATAATGAGAGGGGAGCGTAAGCACATTGGTCACTCTGAAGACAGCCAAGATATGTCTGCACAGAAGACCTGAGAACTCAAACATTTGGCAACTACAACTTGCTCTCATCTCCAAAACATTAAATTTCACATAGTGAGCTTTATGATCCTCTCCAAATTTAGCGACTTGGTAAGTTATAATTTCCCCATCATCATCAGCCTTCGATGCCATAAAAGTTAACGTGCCAACTAACTCCTCTTGAAACCTTGAGAACAGCTTCCTGGTGTAGAGCTCAGAAACCTGTTTTTCCATTGGAGATGGAGTCTTCAGAAAAGGAGAGGTGTTCATTGTATCGTAATCTGCTTTCACTTCTTTCTCATTCCGACTCTCCAGAGCTTTTTCATATAGTTTGAAGAACTGACTCAAATTGGTTGAAGCATTCACATATCCATCAAAATATGAATTCATGCTATCACTTCGTTGGGTGATAGACATTTCAGCAAAAAAAGTGTCCCGCAAATACACCGGAACCCATTGCCTCCGAGCAGAGTAAATTGTCTGAAGCCACTCATGATCCCTGAGATCATATCTGTCAACAAGTGACAGCCAGCAGGACTCAAATTCCTCAATGGAGTCAGTCAAGTTTACACATTTATGGAAGTCAGCTTCAAAGCTTGGATGTTTGAGGAACACATGAGACAACATCTCCTGGCATTTTTTGAAAATATGCCATTTGCAGAAACGGTGACGGGTCTCAGGGAAAACTTGTGTAATGGCTGACTGTATTACTGCATCATGATCCGTAGTAATTGACACAGGTGGGCGACCAGACATTGCCAAAAGCCACGTTCTAAACAGCCAATTAAATGATGCTTCAGATTCATTTATTAGAAAAGCACAACCAAACAACACAGGCTGYCCATGATGATTCACCCCAGTGAAGGGAGCAAAGGGCAGACGATATCTGTTTGATCTGTAGGTAGTGTCAAATGTAACAGTATCACCAAAGTAAGTATAGTTCATCCGAGACTTTGGATCAGCCCAAAAGACATTGCCCACATACTGATCCTCCTCTCCCTGAACAGCATAGAAGAAGTTAGGATTTTCAGATAGCATTTGCCTTAAATAATCCAGAAGCAGTTGAATGTCCCCTTCCAAGCTCCTTTGGCGATTATTCCTCATATAATTTCGACAATCCACCTCTGTAAATCCAACTTTACTGATTCCACCATACTCTTTTATTAGTGCTGACATAATCCTACGAGGACCCATCCCAGCAGCCTGTAAAGTATCAATCAAGGTCTTTGCTGGACCTGATATTTGCCTATGTGACCGCAAGCAGTGCACCTGGTCAGGAGGAACTAACTCATGATTATGCTCTCTAACAAATCCAGAGACAACCCATTTCCCAGAATCATGCATCTTTACAGACAAGGATGCTTTGCAACCCACTCTGGTGATGGTTCGAGGACGCTTGATTTCTCTGTCTTTAGTTCGCTTCTCATTCATATTCCTAAAGCCCTCTTTGGCACAAACAAACTGCCTTTGTATAATTGCTCCATCACGCCTAGACCGACGGGAGGAACTGACACGAGTACTAAACCCAACACGACGGGCATAAGAATTATAGAAGGCCTTGGCAGCCTCTTCAGACTCAAATTCCATTCCTTCATAAGGTTCTAGATCCAAAAGATCACCCTCAGGAAGATATATCTCACCACTGCCAGCGCCACCACCAAGACTGCTCAAAGGTGGACTGTCAACCATTTCCTCATCCTCCATGGAATGGTGTACAATAGCTATAGAATAGTCATCCCCCTCTCTCCCACTGCCTCCTCCCAATCCAATATCAAATTCAATCACCTCATTATCCATGTGAAGCAGAAAATGTCCAATTAGAACTTATTTCACAAACTCTGCACCGTCCAATTAGAACTTATTTCACAAACTCAGTCACTCAGCATCGACAACTACCTTCTCAAAACCATTATTGCATTGTGTTATAGAAACACCTCGCAACTGAACCCAGCCATCTCATCTCATATCCGAGAGCGAGCCACAGTACCCATTAAATCAACCGCAAGAACAACCAAAACCCACAAACCAAAAATCAATTCAGACCATCAACACTCCAAGTATTCACAGAAATGACCCAATCAACAACCACGAAAAGCGAAAACGAAGGGTAACCCAGTGCGGGGCTCCGGCTGGTGGGGTTTGGGGGGAGAAAAACCCTAACAATGAAATTGAATTTTGCCGGGAATTCAGAAGAGGCGGGGGGATTGGGGGTTTGATTAGGAGCGGAGAGGGAAGAGGGTTGCAAAAATGAAAAAAGAGGGAAAAGATTGGAATACCGTGGATGAAGTGGAAGATTGGACGATGATCGCGAAGAAACGGTGAGAGTTCAGAGGTTGGCGATGGATTCTTCGCATGGAAGCGCAGCTCCGAAGGCTCCAAAAAATATCAAAAATCAAAAATCAAAAATTGCGAGGTTTTGTTCCACTGGTTCGCCGATTTAGTTTCTCAAATGCTCGCATGCCATCAGAAAACGCGAGATTGAAATTCCGAATTAGTGGACGCAATAGGATTACATTGAGAATTGATATTCCATCAATTTTAATTTCAGTTTCTGTTTATTTCTCTTGCGATTATTATTTGATTTTTCAAATTTGTTTTATTTTCATTTAAAACTCATTTTTTGAATTGTTTCAAGAATAATCATTTTCACGAGGGATTTGGTATTTCATGTTTCTTATTTATCTTTTTTTTTTTAGGGATCGAAATAAGATTTTTTATTTTTGTTCCATTTTCAATGTATTTCAATTCCCAAAGTATAAATAAAAAGATTGTTTTATCGTACTTGAATTCATGAAAGTTGAAATTATATAATTCATGTGGTTCAAATTTTCATCCATGTAGATATTCTCGTGAATTTCTAACATGAGAGACAAATCAATATTTTCATAGTATTGCACARMAAATAACATTAATATTAATATTAAATATTTATTATTAATTTTTTTTAAATAAATATTCATGACAAAACATTGACATTTCTATAAAAGTGATATCTTCACATTTTCATCAACATCGACGTTCAAACTTTAATTATAATGATTGTTCTTAAAATTTAGAGATTAGAGTAGATGTTTTAAAAGTTGGGAGTTGAATAAAAATAAAATGAATGTGAATCTTCAACCATCATGGATTGGTCCATTGGTCCAAAAGAATCAAAATTTATAAGGGATGAGTTTAAATTATGTAGACCACCTATATAACTATGCTTGCATCYTCAACGACATTACTACCGTTCATTCTCACCCACGTCTTGTTACTGTTGATTTAACTTTATATAGACCGTAATCATGGGCGGAGTCAAACAAATTTCTTTCTTCCTTCCTTGAAAAGCTTAGCCTACTTAATGGTTTGGAAAATATTTATTAGGTTTTTTTTTCTTGAAAGGAGACATGAATATAGTACCTACATAAAGACCAAATCTTTATCCGTGGAAGAAACATACGGTTGTTAGACATAAAATTGACAATACCATACTATTTTTAAAATATAAATAGAGAACGTCTCCTAACAAGTGACTGAACCTCAACAACATAACCAGCATAACGTATGTGTGAAATTKTGAATGAATTCTATGATCAATATCGGATTTTTTCACTTCCAATGATAATAGAGTACTATTTTTTAAGTTTTATATTCTCATTCCACTTAAAAAGAAGTCTTTACCCTTAACATAAACATGATTATAAGAACATAGAAAGCAAAAACAAAACCCATTACCAAACTCACAACCTTTTCATTATTTACCTTATTATTCCATAGGATATTGAAACAAAAATTACAATGAACAAAAAAAATACAAGAAAGAAAATCAGTAGCAGTAAAGCTTATTCATAAAGCCTAGGGTTAATTATCCTTTGGTGAAGCTGCAATTACATGAAAACAA